AGAAAAAGAATATGTGACAAGATACATGTAGGCTTTACCTTTTATTTATAGAGTTTACCTGTGACTAGTATAATTCTAAATCTGGGATAACTATTCTAAGGGTCCATGTCCAGATTTGTTGCTATCCAATTAAAATTAACATCCTTGATTGACACTTTTCTTTATGAGAAAAATGTTTATCCTTTTAAATGACACAATTTATATCTTTTCACTCTCACAAAGAAGTGAGACCCACACTTTTATATTTTTTTATCCACTCTTTCTCCTCCTTTATCTATCTCTTTCTCTCACTTAAAATGACACAACTTTTTTTTTTTGAAATATAAGGAAAAAACTAAATACGATTACACATTCTTGGGTAAGCTAAAATGACACAACTTCACATCCTTCCCTTTTTTTTATTTATATTAATTTTCTCTTTGTGTTACTGGATCTTGTAAAATAAGAGCCCCTTGTAAGATCCATAACACCTCCCATTGTTTTGTGGAAAACACGGAAGTAGAACAACTGGCAATTTTGGAAACAAATTTGAAACCTCAATTTCCGCATTAAAGTAAGAAATTGACAAGAAAAAAGAGGAATATATATTTAGACCTACATTTTTCTTGTCAATCTGTCACTTCTCACTTCTCACTTCGTCCCATTTAGCTGTATATCATTTGGAAAGGGAATAAAGTAGCAAAGTTGTCTAGGATATGGTTTAAAAGGAAAACAAAGAAAAATATTTGTGGGCCATTAACCTAAAAAAATACGAGCTATTTAGGGGGCGTTTGGTTGAGGAGAAATTTTTTGAATACTAGGGAAATGTAATTGATAGGGAAATGGTTGGAAAGTGAGTTTGGTAGGAAAATGTAAAAAAAGTTGTTTGGTTGGACAAAATTTAACCGGGCAAATTAGGTAAGATTTATAAAGTCTATGTTTGGTTTGAGGTAAAATATAAATGGGAAAATAAGTGGCAATTACGAAAATGTCCCTGTTTTTAAAATAACTGTAAATTACGGTCCTTAACGCACTGGCTTGAGGTTTTCAATTTCCAGCTTAACGTACTGGCTCTGGAAGCATCATTTGTGGCCTTTGCTCCTCCTAGAAATGAATTCATTCCCAAGTATTTAATACATTTACAATGTGTAAGGTTTTAGGAAGCATCATTACTTGGATAGAGTTATTTATTTCTTTTCCCCTATAAATATTTATGACTTATTGTTGGAAATAAATGTGTTTCAAATATTTAGCCGTGTCGTGGCAGGAAGAAGATGCTGATATAGACGAAGCACGGCGATCGTAGTGCTTTATCTATCTTAACTTCAATGTTCTACTTGAGTTAGAACCTCATTTATTTGTGAATTGTGACTCATTGCCATGTTATATTTGAAATGTAACCGTGAAGATTAATGGTTGGTTTTCCGTACTGAAAATGTATTCATGAACCCACTGGCCACTGCCCTCAAAAATAAAAGAAAGAAAAGGTGGGTATCGTATTCGATAATAAGGTTGGAAATCACCAGCAAAAAGAAATTAAATATAACAAACATATCGAACTAGATTAATTGATATATTTGCATTCACTCCAATCCTTTATTGCCTTCTGCACTATCTGAATTTCACTCGTAGTCGTGGTGCACCACAATAACGTACTGGCCACATTTGTTGTCCTTTGGAGTATATGTTGGAAGACAATAATCAGCAACTTTTGGCAGCAATATTGTCAAACATTCCAACCTGATGCAACGATCATTACCCATGACTTCGAATCTGAATAAATACTGTCAAACAATCGAATCTGAAGCAAGTTAAATTCTTCCCCATATGGCAGTAGACAATGTAATAATGAAGACCATGGTGACAGAATAAATACTGAACATGATAACTATAGGAACAAATGAGTACATTCCAATTCATATTCAGTAAAACAAGCAACGATACAATCATACCAATCATTATCTTCATATCATCGATCAAAACTCATTTAAATAATTATATGAGGATGCATAAAAGGCATATATGATCAATGCTAGTACTCATACAATTTTTTTTTTTTGTAACCTGTATCGGTTAAGGCTCATACAAAAAATCAGATTTCAGAGTCAGTATACGTATTTGCTAGCACAAAATGGGATAGAAAACAGAATAAAATAAATTATTATCTTATTGGTAATGCGTGCATGCTTATGAATTTTGGGTATAACCAAAGCTTAACTCTCTGTCATAAATACAAGATGGCCAACCATATTATAGGATGTTACTTTCCATGTCCACACTTACAGAAAATATAATTCATGTATCACAAAAAGGAATAGCAACTGAAATGTCATGAAGAACGCATAATTGTATACACATGGAGAGAAAAGAACCATGATACGAAGCTTTTGCTAAATTAATTGGCAGAAGTTAATTCCAATCTACATCTTTAAGAAAATGTGCGATCAAGCAAATTTAAAGGTTCTCAAACTTCATAGACCAAGCTTTGACAAAACAGGGGCTACCAATAACAACAATGGGCATCAAATCTACTTTGTATAACCCTTTAAGGAATTGAACCAATTGAGTATTTGTTATTGTGTGTACAATACTAGAACAAATACAACTAAATTTCTAATTCGAAAGACAAGAACAATTTCAAAAGTTTGCAAATATTTCTTCAAAAGGATAATCTAAACATAAAATTTGAGATAGAAACCTTTAAAAAATTTCAATACAACTTAGTAGCTTATTCAACACTAATATTTCAAGCCAAAAAATTATGCTAAAGCTAACATTTTTCCATAAAGACTCCATCCATTGCTTAAACTGGAACTATATAACATTAATATACTGGAGGAATTAGAACAAATGACCAAAGAATGGATAAAAATTTTACCTTCTTGAATGAAAACGGACAAGCCAAAATCTGTTGCCTTCAGAAGTGCATTTTCGTCCTTACTAGATAACAAGAAATTCTCTGGCTTCAGATCCCTATGCATCACACCCATGAAATGGCAGATATGAACAACATTGACAATTTGTCTGCATATTGATGCAGCAACCCTTTCACTGTAATGACCCTTGGCAATAATCCTATCAAAAAGTTCACCACCAGCAATATCATACTCATCTTTAAACCAAACAAATATTATATAAACGTCCTCCCAGCTGAAGCCAACTTGTATGTTATATTTTAACTAAACCAAAAAGTACGTCTTTGCTAAAAATTATTAGTTAATCCGTGAGTTTGTTTTGCCACAAGGCTATCTCCGAATTGCCACAAACCCCAAAATGTTACCTTTTTCTGAAACCCCACGAATCACCAATATTTCTCAACCTCTTCTCGACCACTTCAGATCAACAACCATCATTCACCATATCCTACCTCACAAACAATTGTGGTTTGTCACTTGAAACTGCTCTCAAAGCATACAAGCGCGTTCGTTTCGACACATCCCTGAAGCCCGATTCAGTCATCGCCTTCTTCACAAACCATGATTTCTCCATCTCCCAAATACACAACATCATTGGTAGGGTACCTGAGCTACTTGCATGCGACCCCAACAAAAGGGTTTTGCCCAAGTTTGAATTTTTAGCCTCTTCTTCCTCTGACATCGTTCTCATGGTCACTAATAATTAAAATATAAACTTTGTGTGGACAAAACCCAAAAACATAGACGAAAATAAACTTTGTTCCACCGAGAAACCTCCCAAAGTAGCCAACCTTCATGAATCCGTGTTCGTCTGTGCAAGTCTATGGTCGAAAGTGACAACTAACAACTCTGCAATTTGGTACGACATTTTTCAGTTTCGCGCGCTTAATAGAGGGTACGCTGGTCATCTGCAAGAAAGACAATGTGAGCAAATGGATAGCAAAGACGTAATACCACATCTGAAGTGGGATTATTTGGCCGGCTAAATCGATTTGGATACATATGCAAATGGCTTACCTATCATTCGAATTTACCCAGACAAGTTTGAAAGCGGTTCAACCAAACGTGGTTGCCTTACAATCCCACTTCTAATTTCTCCATCTATTTCATCAAAATCCTCCAACCAAACACCCCCTTAGTCACATCCTAAATTACCTCCCCAGATCCAATCTTGTTTCTTTTTACCTCCATAAATTCTTACAACTCTTTGACCACCTATTTTCATGTAAAAGACCACACCCTAGCAGATTTGTTTGGACTACATTTTGATTTTTAAGGTGCATCTTTACCCTAAACATGTCACAACCTTAAACATGTTTTGGTAACTAAGATTTGAGAAGCGTTTCGTCATACCTTTCTGTTTATTGGCGTAACCGCAACATGTTACGTGCATAGGTTGATGTCGCATTGATGCCAATACAAATAATTAAAATGCTTGTACCAAAAAAAATAATTAAAATGCTATATTCGATTTTCGAGTATTTTATGTAATACAGCTCACAAAATAATATATTAACAATAATACCCATCAGAATATATTAATAATAATAAAAGAAAAAAATTTACCAAAAAAAGAAAAAGAAAAAAAAGCATGTCACATAGGAATAAATCTTTGATACTACTGTTGTACAAAAGATTCAGTACATTCCATCAATGAAAATATTACATGTCAGTTAAGATACATTTTTTCTGTCAAATTTTTTTTCTCTCATCTGATGTGTAAAGCTCTTATTTATAAAATGCACTGAATCTAGCTACAGCAGTAGTACCAAAAATTTATTCGTCACGGTTTCTATCATGAAATCCAATCCCGAGGCACATGTTCCATACTTATTTATTTATTATTTATTTTTCATGTCAGTATATAACTATATATTGTGTGATTTTCTAGTTTTTAATATATTGAAAGATACTATAGGTATGGAATTTAAACTAATTTAAAATGAAAGAGTCTGCGAAAAAAAAAAGTAAGATGAATTATGTCAGTATTTAATTATAGAAATTAGATTGAAGGCTATCTCGCACGTGCCGCACGTGCTCTCGCCGCGACCCTGAGTCCATTTTCATTCCTCTGTCTTTCTCTGGGATCGGAGCATAAGAAGAAGAACAAACACAGAAAAAAAGCTTCACTTCACAGAAGAGGGGGAAAACCCGACCCGAATCTCACGATCCAAACCCGATGGAGTCGATACTGGGTCGGGCTCTGGAGTACACTCTCAAGTACTGGCTCAAATCCTTCTCCCGAGAACAGTTCAAGTTGCAAGGCCGCACCGTTCACCTCTCCAACTTAGGTTAGCCTCAAATCCAAATTCAAATTAAAATTCGAATTCGAATTTCATTCCGTTTTCATTTGACTGAGTTCGAATCTTGCTCTCAGATATCGACGGCGACGCTTTGCATTCAAGTGTCGGATTGCCGCCGGCGCTGAACGTCGCCACCGCCAGAGTTGGCAAGTTGGAGATAACAGTTGAGTAATCAGTTTCAGTTATAACTAACCGTAACCGACTCTGTTCACTTCTCTGCTGCTGTTGCATTATCGATTTCATTTATTTATTTATTGTAGCTTCCGTCGGTGAGTAATGTGCAAATAGAACCGATCGTTGTGAATATTGATAGCCTCGATCTTGTTCTTGAGGAGAATTCTGATTTTGATGCATCTCTTAGTCCAAATAGGTAAACATGAAGCTAGTGATGCTTATTGATCTTGCTGTTGATTTTGTTATTTCATTTTCTTGGTTACTTTACACCGTTAATGTGCAGTGCCACGCCGTCGGCTGCCTCCGCCAAGGGTAGCGGATATGGTTTTGCTGATAAGGTTTGAGTTTGAATCTATCTTCTCTAAGCCTAATTTGATATGCATGATATTCTAATTTGCGCTAGTGGTTATAAAGATGTTGGCGAAGATAATTTGTTGACTATATGGAGAGGTTAATAAATTTTAGAAAATTATAGAGCAGAATAGGAAGTTAAGGATTCAGTGGAAGGTTGGTTCATTGCTATGCAGTTCAACTTAACTCAATCCTTTCTTTTATGGTTTGGTAGTTCCTAGCAATGCAAATCACTTTTTCACAAATACGACTATCTTATTTGAATGTTAGTTGTTCACACTGATTGTGATTAATCATCAGATTGCAGATGGCATGACTATAAAAATTCAGACAGTTAATTTATTACTTGAAACTCGCGGTGGTTCTCGTCGCCAAGGGGGAGCAACATGGTGAGTTCTTGTTACAAGTGCTCTGAATTCAATGTGTTGTTTGGTTTGTTTATGCCGTACAAACACTACCAAGTGTTTAGGGTTGATGCAGTATCTTGTTCTCTGCTGGGGTTGATGCAGTATCTAAACTACATTTCGTGCAGTGGAGTTAAAATATAGTAGGTGGTCTCTGTGGGGGAGCTTTAAGCATAAACCTGATGAATTTTAATCTATGTTTGGGTCAAAAACTATGTTCGAAGTTTTACCTGAAATCTATTTATCTCATTTACGTCTCTGGTTGCAGGGCCCCACCTATGGCAGCTATCACCATACGCAACCTTTTGCTGTATACCACAAATGAAACCTGGCAGGTAATTACTTCGAAACTCAGGCTTACAATAATTCATGAATCTTCTTGCATATAGCATTTTATTGAAGAGTTTTTCCTTTTCAGGTTGTAAATCTCAAGGAAGCACGGGAATTCTCAAGTAACAAGAAGTACATATATGTCTTCAAAGTAATATATCCCCCTTCACTAGTTTTAATATGTGTGTGTGTGTGTGTATAATCTGTATTGGTATGATTTTCTTTCTCTTCTATATTATGGCTCTCCTTTTGCTATAAGATTAGCATCCTTTCATGAAAATTATTTTCTGCTATATTCTCATTGTTGAGGTACTATGTTGCTTATGTCTGTGTTACCTAATGATAATTCTCACATCTTGTCCTGTCCAGAAACTGGAATGGGAATCTTTGTCTGTTGATCTTTTGCCTCATCCTGACATGTTCGCGGATGCTGCGTTAGGCTGCTCCCAAGAGGGATCAAACCTGAGGGACGATGATGGCGCAAAGCGAGTATTCTTTGGAGGGGAGCGTTTTATAGAAGGAATATCTGGAGAAGCATATGTAATGAATACAGTTCCTCCAATTTATTTTATAAATATTCTGTTTTATTATAGAATTTCATGAGTCATGAAGTGTAGCTTGACTTTATAACTACCAGATCACAGTTCAGAGAACAGAGTTGAACAGTCCTCTTGGGCTTGAGGTTCAATTGCATATCAATGCAGCTGTTTGCCCTGCATTAAGCGAACCAGGTGACTAAAAGGGCACATTTTAGGTTCCTATTATCCAATTGTATAAATGGCATGAGATTGATACTTTGTATATGAGCAGGACTTCGTGCACTTCTCCGCTTTATGACAGGATTATATGTTTGTCTAAACAGGGGTGATGTTGATTTCAAGGCTCAGAAGGTTTCATATTGTCTTAACTTTTCCCTTCTTTGAGCACACCGATCTTAGTAGTTTGTTATGCACAAAATCTTGTTTCATTTTGGCTTTCTTTGAGTCTGTTTGTAATTGACTTGTAACAGCAATCCACTGAAGCAGCTGGGCGTTCTCTAGTCTCAATTGTCATAGATCATATATTTCTTTGCGTCAAAGATACTGGTTTGACTTTAGCTTGTGCATAGTTTTTTTATATGAATTTTGATTTGAATCTCCTTTAATTATTATTAAGTATCATAGGGATAATAGTTTTACGTACAACATCGCATGCAAAATGATCCAACTATTTGCATTAACTTGCAGAGTTCCAGCTTGAGCTTTTGATGCAGTCCCTCTTTTTTTCTCGGGTAAGTTCTTTGATGGTTAGATATTTGTTTCCTGACATCATCTAATGTTCTTGCACTCATTCTTTCTTTATTGGGTACTTGTCCATATTAATCTTAATATTGGTATTTGTAATACGTAGAATAGAACTGACCATATCTTAAGCCAAAATTAGAAAATAGTACATAACCTTATATTTGCCTTTAAGAATTTTTTGGGGGCTTTAGAAGACTTCTACATATAGTTTTTTTCTCTTTTGGGTCCATTGGAGGCTTATTGGTCAACAAGATGGGAGGTAACCCTCTCTTATATCTGTGTGCATATGTTTTACATATTTCTAGAATTGATATGAATGATTCTGAAATAAGAGAAAAAGGAAAATAAAATTGTATACATTACATTTATGTGATCGATGTGATTTTGCCATGATAAATTGATTTCTTTAAAACTAACCATTTGAAAAGTTTAAGCTATTAGATGAAGGCACATTAATGTTTTTACATCTAAACGTTTCTTTACACAAGAACCCTTTGAGCATAAAGCGTGGACAATGCATAGGACCTTAAGCTGAAATTTAATTTGTAACTTTTATTTAGAAGAATAGAGGCAACAAGGATCGAACTCTTGACCATGTGGTTATGGAGGCTCTAATTCTTTGTCATGAACCAACCATCCCAAAAATTCAAGTTGTTGGATGAAAACACATGAATGATTTATTTCTAACACAAAAAAAGCCAAAAGATGGAAAGCTCCCCCTCCTCTCAAAAAATAAAATAAAATTACTTCTCGCCCCATATTGCCATGTTGGTAATCCCTGCTATGCAATGTTATAAGCCTTTCAGTGGAAGTAGATTTATACTCTTTAATTAACTATCCTTGTAGGCCAGTCTTTCTGAAGGAGACAATGACAATAACTTGACCAGGATTACAATTGGTGGATTATTTTTGAGGTTTGTGTCTTTGTGCCCTCTCTGAATAACAACTATTAAAAAAATTAAATGAGATCTGTGTGGGTGTATGGGGTGCAGGTGTCTGTGTCAATGTAATCTGTGCTCCTAGGGTTTTAATGGAAACTAAGAACCTTCTAATCCGAATATATTGGCAATGGGTTGCGGCCTATGTATAGAACCAAAACTCTTGTGGTTTGACATCTTGGGTTGAATCATGAGAAGTTAATGCAATCGAAAAGGAGAAAAAGAAAAGAAAAGAATAAGAATTTCTTATATTCTTAAGGAGTAGCAATATTCCCTACTTGATTAATCACTTTGGTGCTCTTGATAGTTGAAATGACACAATCATTATTATTTATTTAACTTTTTTAGTTGACTGTACTAATTGTTACAACGAAACTAAAATTGTTGTTTGTGATTATTGGAATGCAGGGACACCTTCTCTTCCCCTCCATGTACCTTAGTGCAACCATCAATGCAAGCTGTCTCAAGAGATGCCTTCCTTGTGCCAGAATTCGGTATTAAGTTATTAACACATTCTTGAAAAGAAGATATCACTTAAGCAATGCATATATTGTTTGTTTATTTATTTTTCCCATCCTTTCTTTGGGCAGCCAGAAGCTTTTGCCCTCCAATATATCCTCTACAAGAACAGCAGTGGCAGTTGATTGAGGGAACCCCTCTAATATGCCTCCATGCTCTTCAGATCATGCCTTCTCCACTTCCACCATCCTTTGCTTCTCAAACAGTTATTGACTGTCAGCCTCTAATGGTATGGGCAGGTTCTTTCGATAAATGGCCTGCTATAGAAATATAGTGCATCTATTGTTATTTATTTTTGATGATCTATCTGTATTTTTTAGATTCATCTCCAGGAAGAATCATGCCTGAGGATATCATCTTTATTAGCTGATGGTATTGTTGTCAATCCTGGTGACATTTTACCGGATTTCTCAGTGAAATCTTTTATTTTCACTCTCAAGGGTCTGGATCTTACAGTTCCTTTTAACAAGGCCAAACTGGATATTTCTAGAAGTGACATGGACAATACAGTCCAGACCTCCTTTGCGGGAGCAAGGCTTCATATTGAAAACCTTTTCTTTTTAGATTCACCCTCATTGAAACTAAGAATGCTGAACTTGGAGAAGGATCCTGCTTGCTTCTGTCTTTGGGAAGGTCAACCAATTGATGCTAGCCAGAAGAAGTGGACTGCGAGAGCATCCCAGCTTACTTTATCTCTGGAAGCATGCACTGACACAACTGGAGGTCAAAATTCCTTTGGACAGACTGAAGGATTGTGGAGATGTGTTGATCTGAAAGATGCTTGCATTGAAGTAGCTATGGCAACTGCTGACGGCAGTCCATTGTTAAAAGTTCCTCCTCCTGGGGGTATTGTCAGGGTTGGAGTTGCTTGTGAACAATATCTATCCAATACTTCTGTTGAACAGTTATTTTTTGTCCTGGATCTCTATGGTTATTTTGGGAGAGTTGGTGAGGAAATAGCAATGGCTGGAAAAAGGAAACAATCCGAGGACATTAGGGACAAATCTTTTAGTGGAAAGCTTATGGACAAGGTTCCTAGTGATACTGCTGTGAGTTTAGCAGTGAAAGAGCTCCGACTTCAATTTCTGGAGTCTTCTTCAGTGAATGTTGAGGGAATGCCTTTAGTACAGTTTGTTGGAGATGATTTGTTTACTAGTGCCAGTCATAGAACCCTTGGTGGGGCTATTGTTGTTTCATCTACTTTACTTTGGGAGAGTGTTGAGATAGGTTGTGTGGATGCTGAGGGGCACTTGGCATGTGTAAATGGCTCATTCTTGAGTTCTAGTGAAAATGCTCCCTCACCTAGTGATAATGGATATCCTCAACTAAGAGCTGTTTTCTGGGTGCATAAGAATGAGAAACATCTATTGAATGGAAACGCTCATTCAGTCCCTTTTCTGGACATAAGCATGGTGCATGTCATACCATTACATGAACAAGATTTGGAGTCTCATAGTTTGAATGTCTCAGCTTCTGTATCTGGCGTTCGTCTTGGTGGAGGAATGAACTATGCTGAAGCCCTCCTGCATAGATTTGGAATACTTGGGCCTGATGGTGCTCCTGGGGTGGGTCTTCGTAAAGGGTTGGAAAACTTACAGAAAGGACCATTGTCAAAAATTTTTAACACAACTCCTCTCATTGTTGATAATTCAGAAGATGGTATGAAACAAACACTGTCATTTGATTTTCTGTAGCTGGTTTATATACTTCATACGTAATAAATTTGTTCTTTGTTCATCTTCCTTGTGTTCATTTGTTACGTTTAAATTTACTTTTCTTACTTACCTATTTTCACCAGTGGAAAGCATGAGGGAAGGGAAAGAAACCAGTTTTCCACACTTGAAGAAGCCAGATGATGTGGATGTAACTATAGAATTGAGAGATTGGTTATTTGCTCTTGAAGGTGCGCAAGAGATGACTGAAAGATGGTGGTTCTACAGCCATGGAGATGAAGGCAGAGAAGAGAGGTGTTGGCACACATCTTTCCATGCTTTACGAGTCAATGCAAAAAGTAGCCCAAAGAATATTCCTGATGGAAAAGCACGATTGTGTAGAATACAACAACATCCAGTAGAACTGGTTACGGTAAAGAGATGCTTCTTTCTGATTTTTCAAGATTTAATGGAGTTTGTATGTATAAAATATTCTTTATACTTTCAAGAATGAAGTTTTATTTATTGGTTCACACGGTAAAAGGAGATAAAACAAGATTAAAACTTATGTAGAAAATAGCTCGGCTTCTGCCAGGCATATCATATCCAGCAGGAATTGCAAAACATGATATGCCACATTTATACTTCCATTCCGTCAAGGATGAAATGGCTTCTCCGGCATATATCTAAAAACCTGGCAAACTAATTTGCAACCTATGGCCTTAATCAGTCAAAAACTACTAGAATTAGACTGAAAAGGATCACAGATCTTTCAGGGAGGAGGGGGAGGGGGTGGAGAGAGCTTAAATGGATCATTAGACCTGCTTCACTTTTTTCTATTGATTAGTAACTACTACTATGTCAAAATAGAAATAACTCATTATGAAAACTAACCAAACATCTGTTTGAGGACAGATGTAAACTCTTGATTTTAATAAGATATCATGTGAAGCTTCTTCATTTTCATGCGCAAAGCTGATCATTTTTCAGTATATAATTTATTTTTTTTCTCTTTTCTGAATTACCCTACCTAATTCATTTTTATTTTGAGGTAGTAAGACTTCTATTTGATTTTGTTAGTTTCAGTATCGGGTAATTATGATTTGTTGAAAATACATACATACGGACTTAAAATCTGTGTCCCACATGAAAGAGCTAAATGGACAAACGTTTTAAATTGGATCTTTGGGGAATGGTCCGAATATATGCAGTAACTTCTCTTGTCAGCTCATTTAGCATTCCAATTTCGATTTTTAAGGTGGTCTACATCTCAATTAAGTACCTGATAGCTTACCCTTACACAACCTTTAACTGATGGAATTTGCTGTTTGCTGCTGGTCATTCATTGTTCTCAAAGTCAGAAGAGAAGGTTTTCTTACTTGGGTTAATTGGACAAACATGAGGCTAGAAGTCTTTCTTGTCAAATTTGTTATGATGGTTAAGCATAAAGAGTTTACACATAATGATAAAACACAGTTAGTATATACTTACCCCAGAAATGTTAAATATCATCTATTCTGGGTTATTTCTGATTCATATACTTTTGGTTTAAATATAGTAAAAATCAATATCCTTAATTGATTTTATTTGTGTATCTTTTCATTTCTGTTTCTTGTCTTATAAGACATGTCCGCCCCTTAAAGCATTGAGACTGCACTTGCGTTGCAGGTTGGAGTTCAAGGACTGCGAATCTTGAAGCCTCACACCCAGAAAGACATTCCTTCATCAATTCTAATTGCTAACGGGGTTAAAGAGTTTACTGACACAGTTGGAGGAATTGGTCTTGAAGTTCGCTTGATATTATGTGAGGATAATGTTGCTGAAGAAACGACTAATTGGGAAGTGGAAAACCTAAAATTCTCTGTTAAACAACCGGTAATGAGCATTTCATATTAAAGTATGGGTCTTTGTCTCTCTTTTATAAGAAGGTTGTGTATGATGATGGTTTTTCCATGCAGATTGAGGCAGTTGTAACCAAGGATGAGCTTCAGCACTTAACTTTTCTGTGCAAATCTGAAATTGATTCAATTGGCCGGATAACTGCTGGGGTTATACGGCTGCTCAAGTTAGAAGGTTCTGTTGGTCAGTCTGTAATAGATCAACTTGGCAACCTAGGTATGTCGTTAAAGTTAAGAGCATTGAATTCATTTTCATTAGATATAAACTCTTATTCTTTTAAGTGATATTGGTGGAACCTTAAGCCTTACTCAAAGTTAGGAAGTGATGGGATTGTTTTTTCTTTAGAAAACTGCATTTTTATGTAGGGCAGAAAATGGATTTAAGATTTGAGGTCTAGCATTCTTAACTGGGGGTGGTACATTGTTGAAAGGAGGGAGGCGGTGCACAAGACTAGTAGGACAAGGATTCTGTCAGTGTTATTTTTTCAAAAGAAATTTTTTTTAATAGGAAATAGATAACGTTTCAAAACAAGGTGTCTCGGATCCAAGTGACTGGTAAATCGATGACAAACTCAGCTGGTTGCCATATATGACAATACTTTAAATAGTCTCTGTAAACCCTCGAAGATCAGAACGAATTGGGCAATTCTAAAAGTCTTAAGAGTTGAAGACTTAATTGATTGTGTCAATTGAACAAATTTGTGAAAATGGTGAGTATAGACTGTACTAATTTTGGATTGGTAGATAGAAAAGCACAATGAAGTGATATAAGTAATACTAGTTGCCTGGTGTTTCTCATGAATTGGAGACTTATTTGTGATTAACTGTATTTTTGAGCCCATCATAAGTCCTGCCTAAGCTATTATTGTTCCTAGGAGTTTGCTTGATGATGCATTCTAATTTATTCCTTTTGTCATCATCTTCTAATAATGGTATGATGACTTGCAGGAAGCGAGGGCATTGACAAGATTTTCTCTTCTGAAAAGCTTAGTAGGGACGGTACTGTTGGTAGTAGAGGACTTTCTCCATTACCAAACTTGATAAACGAAGAATCCCACAAAACTATGGAACAGACATTGACTTTGCTTGAGGAAGCGGTTGTGGATACACAGGCTAAACTCAATGATTTAGTCAGTGATATTGGTACTTCAGAGTCTTCTTCAGTTCAACACCTTACCATCATCAAACTGAGTCAAAAGATTGATACTATGCAGGGGTTATTGATTCAATTACGGAATCAAATTTAAGGGGATTCGGCCATTTTTTATGTATAATTATATTCAAAAGATTATCAATTATATAGGTTACAAATCTTGTGTATATAGGATACAAATCCTTGTTGGGTGTTGTACAACTTGGGTAGATGCTGAGGCTCCACATTGTTGTAACAGAAATTTTGTTCCCTCGAGCAAAAATTGCAATCTGAAGAGTTTTTTTTTCATGTTCTTAGGCAGTTTAATGGTGTAAAGGGGGGAAAATTATGACTACAACTTTGGTCGATCATTTTGGCATTACATAGCGACAAAGGGCCAAAAAATAAAAACAAAAAAAACAAACAAACAAACAAACGAAAGAAAGACTTGGCACTAAACGCTGAATGACTTCTTTTAACAAAAAACAATCTAATAATACTGAACGCATGTTTGGTTTTACTTCATTTTTTTAAAAGCTTCTAAACACAAGTTCTCACTTGAACATTTTCATTATAAACTTTTTTTAACACAATAAACTAATACTAATACACACAATATACTTGGTGAAGGAAATAAATCAGGTTCCTGGTGTTCATGACTAGTTAAGCCAATAGACCAGAACTGCTCCACGTTGGACTGCATATCGTGCACATCAGCTTGGTATTGCACGGAGAAGAGTTAGACTGGGGAGATTGTAACATCATCCCAGCGCCATATTGTTCCATCCTCACAGCAACTCAAAATAGTACTACAACATAACAGAAGAAAGGACTACAGTTAAAAAAAAAGAAAGAAATGAAAATATTGCATCAAAATTATGAGCAGCAACATGAAAATATGCAAGCAAAAATTACCTTCCATCATAGGACATAGCAGTCTGCCTGATTGGAGATTTTGATTGAGCATGGGACAACCTGAACAAGGTGAAAGAGCATAAAAATTTGATAAAATAGAAATACATTGATGTACTAAAAAAAAAAACATTGAAATGTAATTGATAAACGAACCTTGCAATGAGAACAGGGGGGCTTGACTGCAATTCCCAAACAAAAATCTTCCCTTCTCTGTTCCCTGGCAGACCCAGAAAAGAAAAGAAAAAAAGCAAGTCAATACTGTATATAAAAAAACACTTGAAATTACAAACTTGCACACAGATGAACTAGTTAAAATTGTGTCAGAAATCTGTAACAAACAAAATGTGTTATACTTAGTTCCTGTCACTGTAGGACTAAAGCTACACTTACTACAAAAAATACTATATGAAAAAGAAATTGTAACTAGTTATTCTTACCTATTGCAGCTGCATTGTAATGGAAATCACAAGAAAACTTGATGAACCAGATATCACACTCCGGAACAGGGTATTTCTGAAGGACGTCAACTACACCCTGAACAACCAAAAAAGAAGAAGCTGAAACTGATAAAAACTTACACATTAAAAAATAAAAAATGCAACCGATGATAATTCTAACTAACCTCCCCTGGAGTTTGTTCCTTCACTTTAGGCTCCCACAAGACAATTTCATTGTCAACACTCTGGAAATGTGACATAATGCATTACTTTAAGAATTGATATAATCTTATGAAATCTGAGAAATTCAAAACACTATACTTATGACTCACAATCAAGTTCCCAAAATGGAGGAGTTGCCTAAAAACCTTTAAAACTTTTCTATCCCAATTATTAAACTTATTTTTTATAAAAAAAGAAATTTTAGTAGAAGTGAAAAAGGATTACAAAGAAAAGATATGATTTCCCACTTAAGCCAAACAACAAGGAAAAATATATAGACATATCAATACAAAAAGCTACCTCTGCATATCTACCAAAGTAACTCCTTAAATTCCCATGCACTGAGCACCAAAGTGATACCATAAAAATTTTCCACAACTAATTTATTGTTTTCATAATAGCATTAGAAGCTGCTGATTTTACAACAGATCCATTGGAGCATAGCATTTCAAAACTCTAACCCAATCCGGTTTCAATTGAGAACCCAGTTTTCCAGTAAAGTATGGGGAGCTCTTTCTCAGAAAATGGTTAAACTTTTTAGAAGAATTCCTTGTTTTCTTCTTTCCTTTCACTGTTTGTATTTGGTATCAGGAAGGTTTTATCATAAACAGTAGTAGTGGAAGTCACATAAATTTCAGCTAGGGAACAGTTTTTCCCTACAGCAAACCTAACTTTTGATTTCCTCCAGCAAGTAGACTACTCACCTTTGAGAGGATAAAATCACCCAGCCACCTATTACAGTCAACGTAATTTGAATGAACTGAGGCATTGAATACCTGAAATTAGGTATTATTAGAAAAGATCCATGATGTGTACCTAAAACAAACTGTTACTTACAGGAAACTGCACATATTTTGTGGGAAACTTAGAAGGAAGATCTGTCCATGTGAATGATTTTTCTACATAGGACCAGAACTCTGCGGCAGCATAAAGGATATATAGATTAAAATGAGTACACTAAATAAAATTTCACATGCATAGATGAGAGATTCTTACACACATCATGTACATTCTGGCTTGCGCACAGGACACTATACTGCATGGTGGAATCCAACTTTAAAATCGTCATCTTAACTACCCATTTGCATTGATTCAGTGCATGAAACTAATTTTGAAACAGTTCTCAGTAGCAGTGAGTAATTGCATTATTATACAATTTTTTATTTTCTGAGTCTGATAATCAAATAGGGTTTTCATGGCAAACAAAAACAGTCATAAATATTCTGTATTTTTCACTGGTTTAGGATTTTAATCTTTTTAGAGACTATAGAATCATCATTATGAGAAAAACAGTGAAATTTGACAGGATAGTATCAAGATAAACAAAAGCAACTAATGATATAATAGCAACACATATAAAATTAAATACTTTACCCTTCATAGACCATATTTTTACTGTATTATCCATGCCACAACTGGCAATTCGATATATATCTGATGGATGAAAATCCTACAATAAGCAACATAAAGTCAGTCGGGCTAATCTCTAAAACCCGAAACTTCTATTATCACTAAGAGTTGGTAATTAAGCAAGAAGGAATGGGGAAATACATTAGATGCAGAATATACTTACAACACTTAAGACTTCATTACGATGTCCTCCAGCTCCAGCAAATATCAAAACGCATATACCGGTATGAACATTCCATAACCGGACAGATTCATCCTGGTCAACCTTAGATGTCATTGAATGAAAAACAAGTGATTCTTTAATAAGTGAAACTGCAAATAGAGGCACCATTTACTTTGCTTGCAGAAATCACAAGTGATGGCTTTAACGTTTGAGTCCTGATTTCATTTATGGAGTCCCCATGGCCAAGAAAACTCTGGAGAGAGAAAGGCATCATGTCAGGGAGCAACAGGAAGTACATAATGAATACATTTCTTTCCAACATCATTGAATAAGGGGAAAAAAAAAAGGTTACTTCAAGACATTGAGCTTTCCAATGCTTCCCACAAAACTCTAAACTAACAACCAACACTAAATATTATATATATACAATCATCAGGTTCCTCAGCTTCAAGTAGATTGATTAACAGCTATCATTATTGTTACCATCAAGGGTTCATACCTTGTGAATCTTCTCATTGCCTGCATCAATGACTCGGATTATGCCATTGATTCCTCCAGCCACTACAAATGGGGACCCATCAACATTGCATGCCCAGCTCACTGTGTAAAAAGATTCATCCTTCTGGTCTACAAAAAAACAGATAAAAATTAAAACAGTTTTCTACATATATTTCATACATTAAAAAAAAAAAAACCCTCAGAGACAAGAATGTATAGTGATCACTTACATCTTCATCTACATATGATTGTAAAACAGCAATAACTCCTCCTTCAAGACATTGATAAACAGTAACCTAATGCATTGAGAAGATGAACCATTTAAAATGAATCAAATTTTTGGAGGAAAAAAGTGAAAAGTTTCAAACTTTAGGGGTGTAAAGAAAAAGGGGGGTTTTTTTTGGAAGAGGAAAAGAAAGGGTACCCTATTGCCACCAACAGTGGCGAAAACGTTGAGGTAGCGAGAGTCGATGAAGTTGAAAACGACGGCGTATAAAGGGCGTTTACCCTCTTGAAGACGATTGGTGACTCTGTACTCTCTCTTCTTCGAAGGAGTTAAGGAACCCACCACTGGTTCACATCCCAAACCAAACAACTTCGCCATAATTCAAAGCAACTTCAATACCCTTCTTCTTCTTCTTCTACTACTACTTGTGAAACCTCAAAATATAGACTAATTAGTTTACGATTAAAAAAATGGTTTATATTTTTGTTTTATTTCTTATTTTTTTTGGTAATCATATTTTTGTTTATTTAACCATTGGTGGAAACGTATTATACATTAATTTTAAAAACAATTCAATGGAATATAAATCTTAAATTAATATAAAAAATTAATAAGTAGTTTTAATTGTTAATATCACTTTCTTCGTTCAACATCAATATCAACATCAACAATATCTTTATTCCAAATTAATTGGAGTGAGTGATAGATGAACCCAAATAAAAGATAAAAAAAAATATCACTTTCTTCGTTAAAATCATATTTTATTGTTCTCTTTATTAATGTGTAAGCTTATTATTTTCTTAGCATTTTGATTCAAGGATTATGCTGTTATTAAGGCTTTAAGCTTATTAATGTGTAAGCTTATTATTAATATCACATTCTTTCGCTAAAATCAAATTTTGTATCAACTTCTTCCACCTTTTTTTATATGACTTTTGTGAAAATTCTTAGCATTTTGATTCAAGGATTATGCTGTTCTACACATTATAACAGGTTACCATCCTCACCAAATAAATCCAACTTCAACTCTTCCTAACAAGATATTTTTAGATATTATTTGCTTATTGAACAATTATTTAACTTTTTTCTATCTGAAAATTGAGGCCTATGCTATGCATACACCAAGCCTTATCCTTCCTTATTCACTTTGCTACCAAACTAGCATGGCTTCTCCAATCCTCTCATACCTTGCTCCTCATAATCTACAACACCATGTCTATCCAACTAAAACATCACCAATTCCATTAGAGCTTTCCATTCACAGCCAACACAGAAAGCACTTTTCCATCAGAAGCACTTCTTTGAATTCCACTCCTGAGCCTGAATTACCAACCCCAGATTCTACAACTAGTACACTCAACAGTCCAGAGACTTTTCCCATTGAGAAGAGAAGAAGATCAGAGATAATCAGAGAAAGAAGGCCAAAAACTGGCCTAGTAAAACCAGAACCACCAAACTTTGAAATTGGTTGGAAGAGGACCAAAGAGATTAATCTAGAGAAGCCAATAGGGTATGTCATAGCTGATTTCTTGGAGAAGCTTGAGAGTCTTATTGGAAAGGAATTTGGTTCAACAGAACTTCTTGCAAAGGCTGGGGAAATTGTTGCTGAAAGGGCAAGAGAGGAGGCAGAGATTTTGAGAGATGAAGGAAAAGTAGAGGAGAGAATGGTCACAGAATTGTTTAGAGTTTTGAGGTTGATGGAAATGGATTTGGAAATGGTGAAGGCTTCAGTGAAGGAAGAAACATTGGGTGAGAGACTTGAACAAGCCAAAGCAAGGTGCAGGCAAGCCATACTTGTTGCTTATTCCTTCTGAACTCTTTCATGGGAATGTGAAATTAGGGATATAATGTAATAAGAACTTGAAATTATTGGTAAATATTATGCAGTGCCTGATTGACATTTTAATAATCATCACATTATTATTTTCTTACCTAAGAAAAGCCATCAGATTCTGACTAAAAGAAACAGTATAATATTCATGGAGAAGTGGTTCATTAGTGTATGCTAAGCACTTTGAGAAGCAGAAGATTCTTGAAAATCTTAATGGGAACTATGAATTTATGCATAAGATAGCAGGATTTCATCCCTTCCTCACTCTTTGACATATTTTTCATTATCTGATAGTGATTTTATTCATGTTAGATTTTAGAAGAAGTATATAAGACTTTTCTATTGCATCTTATAAGGTTAACTTATAAGATGAGTTGTTCCCTATAGTTCAACTCATAATTCAATTTAGTACATATAGTTTTCAAACAACATAAATTAGTTCCTATTAGTTGGATTTGTTCCCTTTTAGAGTAAAATTATAAGAACCAAATAAGGGCTATTTTACATTGTTTGAAAATTATAAAAATTGTTATAAAGGATTTTGATTAAAACTATGGGGTTTGAATGAGTAATATAACTAAATAGTAAGAAATCATTCACAATGTCCATGATATATTTGGAATTTCATAAGGGTGCTTACAGGTTCATTCAGAAAACAACAGTGTTAGCTGCAATGGAAAAAAATCACAAAATCTGCACGGCCTTTAAATCAATTGATGAAATTTGTTTGTTCAGTCACCATTTCATACACACCCACAAAACTTAAAGCCATTAATTTCAACTTCTGTATGTGTTTTGTGCACAATTTTTTGTTCAACTATCTTTTTTATTTAGAACTTTTTTTTCCCAAGATTTTTATCTAAAAAGAAGTTGCTTAATATTTAGGTTAGGAAACTCAATACTTGAGAGGTCGTCGTTAAAAAATTATGCGAGAAACAATAATAATAAGAACACATTTTAACTCAAAATCAATATATTAGATTCGTAGAATCTTCATCTTATATAATTCCACATTATCTATTCTTTCTTAATGTAAAACAACTTTTCACTCACACTAAATTCTTAATCCTTAAATAACGCCTAAACATTAAGGATCTCCTTAACTATCAAGTGAGACTACTAGTCCAAACTGAGATTCAAACTAGTACAGAAAGGGAATGCAAGATAGGAAGTGCAAAGTCATATCATGGTAAGTGGCATATATTTTGTTTAATTTAATTTAATTTAATGTAATCCTTAGTTTCATAATATTCATATTTTATGAAATTTGTTATTTTTTATACTATTTTTTTTTTTGGTAATCTATTTTTTATACTATTTTTTTATCATAACATATATTGTACCGACAATATCATATAAATAATGTTATAGTCATTAACAATTTTTGGTAAATTTACAGTAATTTAATATTTGTACATCTATTTTTTTAATAGTTATTTAATGTTTAACAATTGTTTCTTCATTAACAATTGCATTTGTAATTTATTAATACATTATGTATCAATATTTTTTATTATTGTATGCGGAGGATTTTATTCAATTCTTTATATATACGAGTAATTTAATAAAATAAAGATAGACTAGGAGCAACTAAAATAGAAAATCAATTTATTTATGACAAAAGTTTTTTATGGGCACGTTACAATAGTGATGCTTGCTTAATAAATTATTATATTTATTGGTTTATTGTTTTATAGGGTGTATATGTGGGAATCCTTCCAAAGATAAAATGACCATACCATTTGACTGGCATAAAACTGGTTGAAACAGTTGAACTGTGAACTGCTAGCATCGTCAATTTGATATCCAAATTTATTTTTAAAACACTATAAAGTAACAATATCGTCAAATCATTTGTTGCTATCTATGAAGCACCTACACTTCAAAATTCCTGACGTGTCGTGTTTGACACTTTTCGATACTCACCGACACTCCAATACTTATTGCAGAGACTCAAAAAAGGGCCAAAGATTACGTTACATTGCATTTTGAATTCCAACTATTAGATTCGTTGAATTACAATTACTATTTTGTTGAGTTTTTTTTTTTTTGGTAAATAATTATTTTATTGAGTTTAATATAAACATTTGGAATATCTTATGTTTTTTTTGCAAAATTGATGGATATTATAAATTTATCTTTATTTTTTTATTAAATATTGAATATTAAATATAATATACACAACATAAATTAAAAATATTATATAATATCATAAAGTGTCCTAACGTGTCAAAATTTAGCATTTTTTAGAATTAACGTGTCAAAGTATCGTATCGTATCTCGTTTCCCGTTTCGGTGCAACATAAGTTGCTACATCATTAAAAGGGCTTGATTAAAAAAAAAAAAAATTGTTGCAGTGACATTTTCATGATTTTATAATAATATTTATAATCATTGAGTCAAAATATCGTATTGTCTTCTTTTCTTATTAACAAAATGTTGTGAGTGCAATTCTAAATGTTTTGGGGGGCAAATGGTTATATAGTACAATTCATAGAAATTTGTTAGCGGGGTCAATTTGTATGTACATCAGCCCCTATTAGAAGCAAACTTGGTGAAGAGCACTACACATACCCCTCTTATTAAGGAGCCTCATTCAGCATTATATAAATTAGTGGCATTGGCACGAGCACTTAGCAGAGAATCATAACATTTCTTTGAAGGCAAAAGGCCAAGCTTATCCTTGATTTCAGAAAGCAACTCGAGGCAAGTTTGCAAATGATTGGAATCTGACTCTTCAATCAGAGAAAACACCTATACACACATACAGACAAAATTGTTGTCAATATGATATGTGGGCTAATGGAACAAACATCACATAATGAAGGTGGAAAACCCTGAAATTTTTCCAGAACCCATTTAACAACATTTTATGATCCATGCAGTTTAAAAGAGTTTTAGACTTGCACAAATTACAATAATAACACAACATAGCCATGCTGACAACATTGAATTGTAGTTGATACAAATTAAGTGAAAAGGAAACCAGAGCCAACCTTATCAAAGAGAACTTCCATGACTAGTTCGTCATTTTGGTACTTCTCCTTGAGGAGCTCACACAAGTCAATAGCAGAACTGACCCAAAATACAATGAACGTAAGTAAATTGCAGAATACAATTTTATTGCAAAGAAATTCAATAAAGTGAAAAAAAATAAAATAAAATAACTATTGTAAATATTTGTTATTTTATTATTATTAGTATTTGTTGTATTGAGGTCAAGTATTAAGGTTTTCATTCTCTATAAATAGAGGCCTCTTTGTACAGATTATTTACACAATTCAATAATATTTCAAATACCCTTTTATTTCAAGTTGGTATCAGAGCTCTCGATCCTGAGGGCTCTGCTTCCGCGCCTACGAAACCTTTTTATTCTTTTTTACGTCTCTCGCTGCCATCAGCCGCCACCGGAATTTTTTTTTTTCGGGGACCTCTTGGACCGAGAAGACCATTGCTTCACTGTTCCTCTTTCTTTTTCTTGTCTATTACACAACAAGAAACAAACGTTCACAGAATCAACGTACAGAACTTAGAACCACCGTACAAAACCTGTTCATCGCGATTGGACCCTTTTTCCGGTGGATTCTTCACTCCGAACAGCCACAGAAACCATCGCGCTCGCCGGACGACCTTTGCCTGAAAAACCCAGCACCATTGGAGGTCAGACGCGCCTCCACGCGCCGCCCTTGTCTCTGCGCGTGAATCCCACGCGCCGCCAGCTTCACCGGCGCGTGACGGTGGTTATCGGCCGCGGACCACCACAGTTCTGATCGTCTCTCCAAGCCGGCTCTGGATCTGTGCTCTCCACTTTGATCGGACATCGTTTGGTATCTTTTTCGAATTTCTTGGCTTCTTGGAGTTTGTTCTTTTACCAATTTCTTGCCTCCGACCAGATCTGACGTTGTTTGGTATTTGTTCCGGCCACTGTGTTACTGTTTCGGCCGCTGTGTTACTGTTCCGGTCAGATCTGACGTTGTTTAGTATTTGTTTGTGATTTTTTGGCTTCTTGGTGCTATTCTTTGACAAGTTTTGTGCAGTATGGCCTCTTCTCAAAGGAGTTCCTTTACAAAGTTTTCTGATGGTGCAACTTCTGAACCTAAGAGAGATGATCGATGGTGTTCTTATTGTAAAAGAACAGGTCATATCAAGGATCTATGCTTTCGCCTCCATGGAAAGCAAACTGTCTTAGAAAAGATGAATAGGATGCATGGTCAACAACATTTTACTTCCTCTAAAATAAATTCTGCATTTCGTCCAGATGAGTTGGAACGGCTCCGAACCCTCCTTGATTCTTTGAGTAAGCCATCTGATACTAGTACTTTGACTATGACTGGTATGAGCTCCAAAACTTATTCTTTCATTTCTTCATGTAATGATTTTAAACATTCTTGGGTTGTTGATTCTGGTGCTACTGATCATATGGCTTGTTGTGCTGACTCCTTTACTTCTTATCATCCTACCATTGGAACTCATACAATAGTCGTAGCTGATGGCTCTCATACATCAGTTGCGGGTTCTGGTGACATAAACTTACAGCAGTCCTTACATCTTAAGGATGTTCTTCATGTTCCTAAACTCTCCACGAATCTTCTTTCGATTCATAAAATTACAAAAGATTTGAATTGTACTGTAACCTTCTATCCTACCCATTGTGTTTTTCAGGATCTCGCCACGGGGAAGACGATTGGTAGTGCTAAAGAGCAAGGTGGGCTGTACTATCTGGTGTCACAATCTCCTGCAAATAAAGTAACAGATCACATCTTGATGTCTCATGGTCAATCAACTGCTGATTCTTTGATTTGGCTTCATCATAAGCGCTTAGGTCATCCTCCATTTAGTTTACTCAAATCTTTATTTCCGTCATTGTTTTTGTCTAAGTCTGTTGAGTCTTTTCATTGTGATGTTTGTGAATTTGCTAAGCATCATCGTGTGTCTTTTCCTTCTAGTATTACTAAGAGTGTTGAACCTTTTGATCTTATTCATTCTGATGTTTGGGGTCCCTCTAAAGTCCCTCATGCTTCTGGAAATAGATGGTTTGTTTCTTTTATTGATGATTGCACTCGTGTAACTTGGGTGTACTTAATGCATGAAAAGTCTGAGGTACCACAACTGTTCTTTCAATTTTATAAAATGGTTGAGACCCAGTTTGGTAAAAAAATCAAGAGACTAAGAACAGATAATGGTACTGAATATGTTAATCACAGTTTTTCCCAATTTATAAGAAATAACGGTATGATTCATGAACTTACTTGTGTTGACACCCCCCAACAGAATGGGGTTGCTGAAAGAAAAAATCGCCACCTTCTTGAAGTGGCTCGTGCATTAATGTTTCAGACACATGTACCCAAATACTATTGGGGAGATGCTATTCTTACTGCAGCATTCTTGATCAACCGTTTACCCACTCGGGTACTTGACCATGTAAGTCTTATTCACTCTATGACTTCTTTTTTCCCTTCTATTCCAATTATGAGTCTTCCTCCACGTGTGTTTGGGTGTGTTGCTTTTGTTCATGTTCATAAACATCATCGCAGTAAGTTGGACCCTAGGGCTATCAAATGTGTTTTTCTTGGTTATGCTCCTGATAAGAAGGGCTACAAGTGCTATCACCCTAGTAGTAGGAAATTTTTTGTTTCTATGGATGTTACATTTCAGGAATCTGAGTCTTTTTTCCAAGGTCCTCATCTTCAGGGGGAGAATCCTTCACCAGAAATCTCATCACCTCCCTTCTTTGAGTTTGAATCTTCAGTGTCTACTCCTTTACCTGTGTCAGTGTATCCTCCTCTTGGTCCTGTTCCTCCTGTGTCTGTTCCTCCTATGTCTGATCCTCCTGTGAGTAATCCTCCTGTGACTGATTCTCCTGTGATTGATACATCAAGTACACCAGAGATACGGAAGATTATGACACCTGAGTTGGTATATCAAAGAAGGAAACAGCCCACATTGCCTCAGCAGCAACCTCAATCGTCTACCACTGGTAAGTCTTGAATCTCATATTTCTGATCATGATGTTAATACTTCTGATGACTTACCCATTACTACTGATTCTGATGATTTACCCATTGCTCTTAGAAAAGGAAAAAGAGCTTGTCCCAAGAAATCTTGTCCCTCTTGTACTGAATACCCTATCTCCCATTTTGTTTCCTCTGCTAATCTTTCTGTGCAGCACAAAAGCTTTGTTTCAGCACTAGACTCTATTGCAATCTCAAAATCAGTACATGAAGCCTTGAAAGATGGGAATTGGGCTCAAGCCATGCAAGAGGAAATGAATGCGTTGGAGAAAAATAAAACATGGGAGGTTATTGATAGACCTAATGGAAAGAAAGCAGTAGGGTGCAGATGGGTTTATGCCCTGAAATATAATTCTAATGGAACTCTTGAGAGATACAAGGCTCGATTAGTTGCCAAAGGTTACACTCAAACCTATGGCATTGATTATGAAGAAACATTTGCTCCAGTTGCAAAGATGAATACGGTGAGAGTCTTGTTATCCCTTGCTGCCCATTACAATTGGGATATAAATCAATTTGATGTGAAAAATGCTTTCCTCAATGGTGAGTTAGAAGAAGAAGTCTACATGGAAATCCCGCCTGGTTTTGATTCTGTGAAGGGAGAAAATAAAGTTTGTAGATTAAAAAAGGCCTTGTATGGATTGAAGCAGTCACCTCGTGCCTGGTTTGGAAGGTTTACTAAGGTTATGATGACCTTAGGATACAGACAGAGTCAAGGAGACCACACTCTTTTCTTCAAGCACTCTCATAATGGGAAGCTTACTGTGCTCCTTGTATATGTTGATGATATTATTATCACAGGTGATGATTTTGTAGAAAAACAGATTCTGCAAACACAGCTTGCCTCTGAGTTTGAAGTCAAAGACCTTGGGAAACTGAAATATTTCCTAGGGATAGAAGTAGCTCATTCAAGGAAAGCAATTTTTATTAGCCAGATGAAATATGTTCTTGATCTTCTCAAAGAAGCAGGAAAGCTCAGGTGTAAACCCTCTAATACTCCTATTGAGCAGAATCACAAGATAGGCTATGAAGAAGAGAGTCCTCCAGTTGATAAAGGACAATATCAACGGCTAGTTGGGAAATTGATATATTTGGCTCATACTAGACCAGATCTAGCTTATGCTGTTAGTGTTGTCAGTCAGTTTATGCACGATCCAAAGGAGAAACACATGCAGGCAGTAGAGAGAATTCTGCAGTATCTTAAAGCTACTCCTGGTAAAGGATTGTTATTCCGACGTGATGGCAATCTCTCTTTAGAAGTTTACACTGATGCTGATTATGCTGGATCCGTGACTGACCGTCGTTCTACCACTGGTTACTGCATGTTTCTTTGCGGTAACTTGGTGACATGGAGAAGTAAGAAACAAGATGTGGTCGCCAGATCAAGTGCAGAAGCTGAATTTCGAGCTATGGCTCAAGGCATTTGTGAGTTACTGTGGCTGAAAATTATACTTGATGATCTCAAAATAAAATGTGAGGGACCTATGAAGCTGCTATGTGACAATAAGTCCGCTATTTGTATAGCTCATAATCCGGTTCAACATGATCGACTAAACATATTGAGGTCGACCGCCATTTCATCAAAGAGAAACTTGATAGCGGGTTGATTACCACTCCATACATTCCCACTGGGCGTCAATTAGCTGATCTATTGACAAAGGGACTTCCTTCAGACAGATTTCAAGAACTTACTAGCAAGCTGGGAATGATAAATATCTATTCCTCAGCTTGAGGGGGAGTGTTGTAAATATTTGTTATTTTATTATTATTAGTATTTGTTGTATTGGGCCAAGCCCATTAGGTCAAGTATTAGGGTTTTCATTCTCTATAAATAGAGACCTCTTTGTACAGATTATTTACACAATTCAATAATATTTCAAATACCATTTTCTTTCGAGTCAAACAAACAAACCTTAGATGGTTATTCCAAATACAATACAAGATGATTCTGCAGCAAGCATCATTCCAATAATTTGAATCATTCAATTCCTCAAGTAGCAGAAGCAAAGTATCCAACTCTCCGTCGGAATGAGTGTGCTCCTATGAATGTCCAATGGGTTGATTATGAATGTTTGTAAGTTAAAAATTATAAAAATTACTGACAAAGTCAAAACCTTACAATGAGACTCATAACATCTTTTGGCTCCAGATGGTGTCCAGCTTGCTTGATTTCCTCGTAAATAAGAAGAGCCTCAGACAATTGCCCGTGTGATGCAAGAACTGAGACAAGAACACTCTTGATTTGGTTCAAGCTCTTCGCCGGTATCAATGGATCTAAGACTACCTGCAATGTGAAGGATTAATGAGATGATCATAAAGGTTACTTAGTGCTTTAAGCAAATAATTAGATGGCTCTAGTCTAAGTATATATTATTTCAAAAAGATTGGTATAAGAAATCTAATACTGTTATACATTCCAAAGATTCACTGAAATTGTAGTATCAAGGAACTAAAGAAAGAGGAAGATACACTACGTGGTGCAAAATACCATGACGCATTCACAAATTCAAGAGAAAGGGAGTGATTTAGGCTGAAAGTATTTACAGTAAATATTCAATTGTGGCAGTAGATAACCTATTCATGCTCATATTCACAATTCGTATTACTAAAGCCAACTTAGGTTTCGAAGAGGAGATTGAAGTGACCCATGAATAAGTAAATTTAGGTCTGGATTAGCCACATTAAATAGAGAACGACATAAAACAAAAATAGAGAATTTTGATTAAAAAGGTAAAAAATTCACTCTCCAAGAAGAAAGCTCGTCATTTAACGTGAGAGGATCCAAATCTCTCAAAAATAGATGTTTACAATATATAGAAGAGAAGGAGGAGAAATCACTTCTTGTATCTGCATTTGGCACTTTGAAATTTTTATTGATGAAACCATTTTGCAACTTGAAAAATTAAAACAGAATAGGTATTGTTGGCTAAATCAGCAGAGCCAAAACCCCCAAAACTGATCTCCACACTTCAACCCTTGAAAGATTTTTAAAACCAATCGTTCAGAAAGTAAATATGATTATAGATTTGTAATATCAATTTGTTCAGTGAAAAGCTTACAGCCAAGCAACTGTATAAACATGAAATAGATCTACATGCTATTATTCATCAATATACAGGTTTAACTACTTACCACAAAAAAGATATATACAGGTTCATCCAGTCAGATATTTTGGGCTTGCAAAATGCATCTATATTCCTTTTGAACCCAGAGAATGTAGTTCAAGGCTGCAGCATTTGCTGCTTGGACCCATACCTGTTTTGCTTTCTCCAACTGTCCACAAGCAGCATAAGCATTTATAAGTGCCATGAAAATTTGCTTTGTAGCTTTGATTCCGGATTGCTTCAGTTCTTCATAATACTACAAGCATGATGTCGAAACATAAAATCTTAAGCTTTGAACAGATCCGTGGACAGCATATTTAATTACATACTTCAGTTTAATATATTTACAAAGCTATAAGAATGGAGGCATCAATATGAACACAACATCATTATTTTTAACAGTATCAATGTTTGAATGTAGAAATCAAATTGAACCCCCAGTAATAAGTTTTTTTAATTAAAAAAATCCAAGTATGTTTTAAAGGAATTGAAAAACAAATAATCATCCCCATGCATAGGAACTTGATCTATGGATATGCACATGCTCTGTAGCAGGGATGTTATGGAATGTAAACTAAAAGGGAGAACTTTAACAGGGTGCTATGGACCCAGGCTCCAAATTCCAAACATATAAAACGAGTAGAACATGCGATGGAGACCCCCTGATATGTATAGAGACAAAATGGCACATTTGCACATAGAGACAAAACTTTCACACACCCCCCCAAAAAAAAAAGTTGAAGATGCTCCTAGAGTGAGGAGGCTATTCTATCTCCAATCATAAAATTGAACCTTGGACACTGTCTTTCTGCCACTCAGTAATAGCATTAATTTACAAATATTTATTAATAATAAAATTTAAGCCTTTAAATATATATATAAGCACTGCTAAAAGAAATTATTAAGATTGGTATTATAGCTTTTTACTACGAATTGCTGCATACTAATAATGGTGAATACTCTTTTGCCAGGGTCATTAAAAAAAAATAGAAAAATTCAAAAAAGAACAATTAAAAACACATTAATATAAGAAAAGGAAAAAAGAAGACCCAATTCCCACTAACCCAAAGTCCATCTTGGCCAAATTTTAAGAGATAAATTGGCTTTTTTTTTTAAAAAAAAAAAAGGAAGAAAGAAAGAGAGAAAAGAAATCATGCACCGCAACATGTCTACCAAGACTTTCTTGAGGAGCTGCCATGCAAGCAGAGTTTGATACACTATCGGATAACAAGACTTGGTCTTTAGCTCCTCTACCTTTTAACAGAACCGCAATTGCCATAAATGGGTCTTTCGGGTTAAGGAAAACCCAGAAGGCTCTGTCCAAAAATACAAAGCCCATCTAGTGGCTAAAGGATTTTTCCACCAATAGGCTGGATTTGACTACACCAAGACCTTCTCTCCAATGGTCAAAACGGTGACAATTCAGGTAATTCTCACTCTTAACTCTTACAAATGGCTGGAGTATTCAGCAATTGAAGTGAATTATGCCTTCCTTAATAACTTTCTTGAGGAGGAGAATTATACGCAACAACTCCTAGGGTTTGAAGATTCCAACAAGAGACTAGTTTGTAAATTGCATAAAGCAATCTATGGTTTAAAGAAGGCTCCACGTGCCTGGTTTGAGAGGTTGACTAAGAACCTGCTCAGTTTTGATTGTTTCCAGCAAGTGTGACAGTCTTTGTGTCTGCATAACAACTCATTGTCTTTGTGTTTAGATTTATGTCAATGACATTGTCATTATTGGAAGCTCTACGGCACTTTTACAGCAGTAAATCACCAAACTAAATAATGTTTTTGCACTGAAGCAGCTGGATTATTTGATTATTTTCTTGGTATTGAGGTCAAGCACCTCTCCACTGGTTGTCTTCTCCTTTCTCAAGCCAAATATGTCAAAGACTTTCTACCCCTATGACTGGGGGCTGTAAGCTTATAAGCTAGAAAGTGACTACACGCCTCAACCTCACTTGAATGGGTCTATAATTGGGGGGCACTGCAATTTGAAACCATCGCCAAACCATAGATCAGCTATAGTGTCAACAAAGTGTGTCAATTTATGTCTCAACCACCGGACACTCATTAGAAAGTCTAACTGGATATTGGTCTTCTTAAACTTGCCAAGAGTCAGTAACCTGTTCCTCTCCAAGCCTTTTGTAATGTCAACTGGGCTTCTGACCCAGATGAATGCAGGTCCACCACAGGTTCTTGCATCTATTTGGAATCTAAACCTTGTCTCTCAGTGGTCCAAAACACAGTCCTTGGTAACTCATTCCCACATTGAGGCTGAATACAAAAGCCTAACTACTACCGTAGCAGAAATTATATGGACCCAGTCTCTACTCACTGAGCTATAACTTCACACATCCACCCCTAGTATTTACTGCGACAACCTAAGCATAGTATATCTCTCTCTCATAATCCTGTTCTTCATGCTTGCCCGAGCATATGGAACTTGAAATCTTCGTTCGTGAGAAGGTTCTCAACAAGAACCTAATTGTTGCTTATGTTCCAGCCTAGGACCAAGTTGCGGATGTTCTCACCAAGGCTCTCTCCAAACTCAGATTTTGTTCTCTTAGAGACAAACTCAGGTTTCTCAAGCAGTTACATCCTCCCTGAGTTTGCAGGGGGAATGTTAGAGATATACATGACATGTATCTATCTCAGTACTGCAGTTACAGAAACTATTAGCTTCTGTTGCAACTTGCAACTGTTAGCTGTTAGTTCAGAGTTTGTTAGTTAGCTGTTGTAAGTTATAACAGCTGTGTCCAACTGTTCAACAGACTCCATAAAGTTAACAACTCAACACTGAGTTATATCAAGTACGCTCTCTGGTTTTACTCACTCTCACTTTCTCTCAGTTACCCATACTTTCCTTCATTTTCTCGCACATGCTCAAACTCTATTACCTAAGAAAGTTACAATAGCCACTAGAGATGGGAAAACAACTTACCCAATTCCCCCAACAGAATTAAGTAAAATCCTTCTCAAGGCATGAGAGAATCCTCACTGTTGTTGCAATCAGATTATTAACATTTTTAAATCAACTTTACAGGAAAGGAAAAACTATTAAAAGTAGTATTGTTATCCCTAAGGTCATTACTATATAACCCCGTAAACCAAAGAATAATAAAATACAGCATCACAATGTTAGCATTAATAAACATAAAAAGGGGACAACCATATACTTAGTGGAACAGAGCATGATAACATTGAAAAAATTAACTAGGGAGCTCATAAACATTAATTAGAAACATAGTTAAGAAAAGATCAACAAAAAGATGCAATTTCTCTTAAACAATATTTGGTTCTTCTGAAAGGAGGCTATGATGAATAGAACACTTATTTTTTGCAAAGAAAGTAATCTTAAAGTCTATATAACTGTGTTAACATTAGAAGGAAGAATATAAGAAATAAGAAAAACCATTGGACACAAACACTAGATTAAAGATTACAAAATGACCAAGAGATAAGAGATGAGTTTAATTCTTGATTCAGCTGGATATGCAAGAAACTATTATCCAGCCATTAATCCCAACTTACCTTCACTATATCCTCTTCAGTTTCAGAGCTGTTAATCAGGTAGCAGAAAGTCTGTGAATCAGGTTTTATATCAGCACATTGCATGTGCTCAAGGACCTTCACCCCATCACTAATGTTTTTCTGCAAAATTTCAGCAAAAAGGTGAGTAAAGGAATGCATTATTTGAAGTCGGTGACAGGTTGATATAAACACAGGTCATGCTTGAAACTTGTTATATAATCATAATGACAAAAACTATCTCTATTATCAACAGTCATATTCCAATCAAAGAACACATCATCAAGAGAAATCATTAGCAGGTTTTATATTGAAAGCAATGGATTCCCCATATAACCTTGCCTAATATCCAAAAATACAAGGATTAAGGTCCAGAAATGGCACCCAAGAGTTATTGGTCCAGGGGCGACTCAGCTAGATCCTAGGACTTGATCTACCCAAAGGGTAGTGGGTTCGAATCTTGAGAGTCTCAATTCTCGGGATTAGTCAGGTCCATTAGGATTTTGGACACCGGTGGGTATCTACCAAAAAGTAAAAGGTCCAAAAGTGCTATTAATTTCCAGACAGGGCCAGTTTGGTGAAAACTCCCTTTGGCTAAAGCCTAGGAATGACCTAGTTCAAGGATTCGCATCACATCTATAATCTATAACTATATAAAAAGAGCCACGAAACAAAAATACGGCCACTAAGAATAGCCCCAGCAATTTCAGGAAGCGGCTACAAGTTTGGCCACCACAAAATAGATTTCAAAGAGATCAAGAATAAACAGCCAAAATCCGGTTGCAATGAATTCAAGTGTCTTGGCCAGTTTAGCTGTAGTTCAATTGATTTTGGGTCAGTTCACTAACAAAAAGTTTTCAGAGTAGTGACTGGAGCAGTTCTCTGGTTTTCCAGTTAAACCAGTGGTCTAGTGCATTTTTTAAAACTACGTTGAGAAAAAGACTTTCCTCAAATACCAATTAAAATAAAATTGGAACAAAAAAATAGTCAGATTAAATCCTGAAGAAAATATTACAAAAAAATTCATACATCTATTAATTTTAATTGTCATATTAAATTTCTTTTCTTTATCAATACTTTCTAATTAGTTTTTACATCTTAATATATTTAATTTAAAGACTTTATCTATATGTCCATATCATGATCTAATTTAAATTAAAATGATAATATATTTCAATAATTGGTTCTTATTTTAATTAAATTAAGTTTAAAATTAATAAAAAAAAGTTATTCTTATATATTTGTGTAAACCATTCCATGCATTGCATGGGTAACATGCTATTTTGGTATAATAACAGAATTTAGGCCTCTTAAAACCTAAATCTAATTTTTATAAATCCATCTACATGTTTAACTTCTATGGATATGAGACAAATCGCCAAGCAATATTCTTTTTGAACCATCAAGACATGCATGTCCGGAGTCCAATTGTTCTTTTTGTCAGAACCCGCAAAAATTGCCACAAATCATATTTTAAGTTTAAGCAAACCACTCCAATCTCATTGGAGAGATAGTAAAAAGTCTATAAGGGTGTGTTTGGTTAAAGGTTTTTGGGGAGAATGATAGACAAATGTGAAGTGGGATTATGGGGTGCCCATGTTTGGTTGAGAGAGGTTTCAAATATAGCTACATAAATGAGTATGGTAGCAAACAAGTTTGTCTATCATTTTGTATCCAAATTGCCTGCCAAAAAAACCATTTTGATATGTGGTATTTTTCGTTACCTATGTATTTGGTTTAGGGTGTGGTTTAAGCAAAGACGAGCGTACCCTTGACGCCATGGTCGTTTAAATTCTGTACTGGTGAGTGTGACTACAAATGGTCCACTATATTGATTCTCATAGTTCAGGTTGCTGCAGTAGGAGTGGGTACTATTGGTCCTGCAGGTAGATGGTTCATTGCCATAACTTATAGGTGCCCACTAGTGAGGAATAAGAGCCGCAAAAGAAGATTCGAATTAGAAGGCTACTGGATTGAGAAGTTGGTGCTAATAAAAGAAAGCCCTCTTGGTTTTCGAATTCATAATCAGCAATACAGAAAATTGCCCCATGATGCAAAAATACTTGTATTGAGTTTCTGTATTAAACTTCAGATAGGGATTGTGCTAACGAGTAAAGCAACACAATACGTTTCAGTATTTTTCATGTGCTATATCTTTGCATGTTGCGATTATTGCAAGAAGTTGAGATCCAAAGACAGAGTTTGTCCTTTTTTTTTGTACATATGGTCGTTCACAACACACACGTTTTGCTTTGGGAAAGGGCAGCAAGGCTGATTAAACATTTTTTAAAAACAAGGTTATTTTTGTAATATCACATTTTTTCCCCATCTATATTTTACCAAAAGCCAAACATAGACTTTACAAAAGTCACCTAATTTTCCCAATAAAATTCTTCCTACCAAACAACTTTTTTTACATTTTCCTACCAAACTCACTTCCCAATCATTTCCCTACTAATCACATTTTCTTATTGTAGAAAATCAGAATTCAAACATGTTTCCGTTTTTATTTCCTATTAATTAGGATTGATTATGATTGATTAGGATTGATTGTGATTGATTAGAATTGATTGTGATTAGGATTGATTAGTCATCGCTTAGTCATTCTTAGCGATTCTTTCTTGTATAAATACTCACTCATGTAAATTATTCAATATCAATATATACAAAAACTTCTTTTCAATATGGTATCAGAGCGGGTTTGTTCCTACCCTAATTCAAATCTGAAATAACCATCCAAACACTTCCATCACCGTCAAACACCTCCTAAACACCTCCTTGAATCTGTCCAACACAGAAACCTAGTCTACTGACCTCCGATCAAGAAAGTGAGGTGACCATTCGACTCAGAAGGATCCGACGAGTCGACCGCCGCTGGACCCATCGCCGTCAAACGCCGCACGCGCCGCCACGCGCTGTCACACGCGCGGCCAGTCTCCGGCGCGTGAGCTCCACGTGCCGCCTTCCCAACGTCTTTTTCCGCCGCGACTTGCACAGACCTTCTCGCCGGCTTCTCCCCTTCCTGTTCCAGTGGTCAGATCAAAAATTTACAAAACTTGATTTTTCATCTACGGTCAACCCTTCTCTTTCTATTCATGGCTTCCTCAAAACACTCTTTCGCCTCCTCATCTTCCGCCTCCTCATCACCCCTTCCTAAGGCCACTAGTCATGTGGTCCAGCAAGGTACAACTTTCTATGTTGATAGTCAAAATTATTGGATCCTTGATTCTGGAGCCTCTGATCATATGACAGGTAATCTTGGCTTGTTTTGTTCATACACTCCATATTCTGAACCTTCTCGGGTCAAGATCGCCGATGGCAGTTTTTCCCAGATTGCGGGACACGGAACCATTAAACTTTCTGAGCTGATTACTTTGACATCAGTTCTTTATGTTCCTTCTCTGACTTGTAATCTCATTTCCATTAGCAAGCTCACCTCTGAGTTGCATTGCTTTGCTAAATTCTTCCCACATGGTTGTGTTTTTCAGGAACAGGACTCGGAGAGGATGATTGGCAGTGCTAGAGAGGATGGTGGACTTTACTACTTTGAGGAGGATGTGACTCATGAAGCTGTTTTCGTAGAAAAAAACTCTATGTTTCCTTTTGATTCATGTAATGATGTTCTGCTGTGGCATCGTAGGCTAGGCCATCCAAATTTTATTTATCTTCAGAAGTTGTTGCCAAACTTATTTATTAATAAAAGTCCAAGTTTGTTTTCTTGTGATATTTGTCAACTTGCCAAGCATACTCGTGCTCATTATCCTTCTAAAGTTCACCATGACTCTTCCCCATTTTCCTTAATTCATAGTGACATATGGGGTCCAGCTCGTGTTAAAAATATTTCAGGTACTCGATAGTTCATTACCTTCATTGATGACCATTCTCGAGTCTGTTGGGTGTATCTTCTAAAGGATAAGTCTGATGCTGCATCCGTGTTTAAAAAATTTCATGCCATGGTTCAAACCCAATTCCAAGTTGCTATACAAATTCTTCGTACAGATAATGGCAAAGAGTATTTTAACTCTATTCTTGGAGAATATCTTTCCCAACATGGCATCCTTCACCAAAGCTCGTGTCCTGACACACCCCAACAAAACGGAGTTGCGGAAAGAAAAAACCGACATCTCCTTGAAGTTGCTCGGGCTCTTATGTTTACCATGAATGTTCCTAAACATCTTTGGGGAGAGGCAGTTCTCACTGCCTCGTATCTGATAAATCGAATGTCATCTCGCATTCTGAAATTTCAGTCTCCTCTTTCTAGTCTTGTTCGTATCTTCCCTTCCTTCCGAGGTGTCTCCTCCTTACCTCTCAAGTTATTTGGTTGCGTTGTATTTGTCCATATTCCCTCCCATCAACAGTCTAAGCTTGATCCTAAGTCTCTTCAGTGTGTCTTTATTGGTTATTCTCCTACTCAACATGCTATAAATGTTATTCACCCTCTCTTCGTAAGGTCTTTGTCTCTATGGATGTCACTTTTTCTGAGAATGACCCTTTCTTCCCCTCGACTTCTCTTCAGGGGGAGTCTATAGGAGTAGATGAAGATCAGTCATGGGAACCTACTGATGCCACGGTATTACCTCTACTTTTGGAAACAGGGGGAGCTACAGAATCCTCACCATCAAGAGCCTCCTCAAAATGGGGACAAGTTTATAGCAGGCGAAAGCCTCCTCAAAGTGTGAATAACCCAGAGCCTCTACACTGCCAGGATTCTGAACCATGTTCTAGTTCCAGCACCCCAATACTTGAGTGTCATGGTGAAAATGATCTACACTTGCCCATTGCTCTCAGAAAAGGTACTCGATCTTGTACTACTCATCCTATTTCTAATCATATTTCATATGGAAAGTTGTCCCCAGGGTTTCGTGCTTTCAATACTATGTTGGATAGTACAAAGATACCGAGAAATATACATGAGGCTCTCAATGATCAAAAATGGAGGGATGCTGTCTTTGAAGAAATGAATGCTTTAGAAAGAAATGGAACTTGGGAGATAGTGACCCTACCCAAAGGAAAACAAGCAGTAGGATGCAAATGGGTGTTTACAATAAAATTCAATGCAGATAATAGCATCAACAGATACAAGGCAAGATTGGTTGCAAAGGGTTTCACTCAGACTCATGGGATAGATTATCATGAGACTTTTGCTCCGGTTGCTAAAGTCAATACCATCCGAGTTCTCTTATCTCTTGCTGCCAATCTAGATTGGCCTCTGCAACAGTTAGATGTGAAGAATGCATTCCTAAATGGTGACTTACATGAAAAAGTCTATATGGATCCTCCACCTGGTTTTGAAAAGGGAAATGGATCAGTGTGTAAACTAAAAAGGTCTCTATATGGATTGAAAAATCTCCCAGAGAATGGTTCGACAAATTCACACAAGCAGTCAAAAGAAGAGGCTTCATTCAAGCACAGACTGATCATACTCTCTTCCACAAACACTCTAAGGATGGTAAAATTGCTATTCTTATTGTATATGTAGATGATATAATTCTTACAGGTGATGATATTGAGGAATTGAACACCTTGAAGAAATTTCTAGCAGCTCAATTTGAACTCAAAGACCTTGGCACTCTCAAATATTTCCTTGGTATGGAAGTTGCTAGGAGCAAAACAGGCATCACTCTAACACAAAAGAAATATGTTCTAGATCTTTTGTTGGAAACAGGAATGTTAGGGTGTAAACCTGCTGAGACACCTGTGGAACCTAATACCAAGTTAGGTATTGAAGATGGGAATGAGGTGGATAAAGAACAATATCAGCGATTGGTTGGTAAACTAATCTACTTATCTCATACGCGTCCTGACATTGCCTTTGCGGTGAGTATGATTAGTCAATTCATGCACTCACCCAAGGAGAAGCATCTTAGTGCAGTCTATAGGGTGCTTAGATACCTCAAGAATACTCCAGGAAGAGGATTATTCTTTAAAAAGGGGTATAAAAGGACAATTGAAATCTACACTGATGCAGATTGGGCAGGCTCATCAGTAGACATGAGATCTACCTCAGGCTATTGCACCTATGTGTGGGGAAATCTTGTTACTTGGAGAAGCAAAAAGCAAACAGTGGTTGCAAGAAGTAGTGCTGAAGCAGAATTTCGAGCTTTAGCTCATGGAGTTTGTGAAGGAATCTGGTTGAGAAGACTTCTTCAAGAGTTGAAGATTTCATATTCCCTACCAATAAAACTATATTGCAACAACAAGACAGCTGTTAGCATTGCTCAAAATCCTGTGCATCATGATCGAACAAAGCACGTGGAAGTTGATCGTCACTTCATCAAAGAAAAATTAGATGATGGAAGTGTGCGTTTGATATATGTTCCAACCAAAGAGCAAACGGCAGATATCCTTACCAAGGGCCTACACCGTCCAGCATTCGAAGACTTGATTGGCAAGTTGGGAATGATCAATATTTACCTCCCAACTTGAGGGGGAGTGTAGAAAATCAGAATTCAAACATGTTTCCGTTTTTATTTCCTATTAATTAGGATTGATTATGATTGATTAGGATTGATTGTGATTGATTAGAATTGATTGTGACTAGGATTGATTAGTCATCGCTTAGTCATTCTTAGCGATTCTTTCTTGTATAAATACTCACTCATGTAAATTATTTAATATCAATATATACAAAAACTTCTTTTCAATACTTATGATTCATAAAAATTTCTCCTCAACCAAACGCCCCCTAAGAGCACTGTACTAAAAAAAGAAAGATTATAAGAGCAAAAGCAGAGGCATACTGAGTAACCAGAAACATCACCTCCCGAAAACATTCTGCCATTATCGCATTGTACATGCCTGCTGTTGGTTTCAAATTTATTTCCTCCAACTCATCAAGCATCTTGTATGCACCTTCAAGCTGTATTACAAAACCAAATAAAAAATAAGTTTGATGAAGACTGATGAACACAAGCATGTAAATGAAATTGGTACAACTTACATCTTTCATCTTCAAGAACAAGTCTTTCATACATCTGAATGTTTCATCATTTGATTCCAAATTGTAGCGACGTATGGTAGAGAAGATCCGATGGACCTTTATTTAAGAATATACCAAAGAAGAAAACAAACATTACTTATCAGAACAGTAAGCTATGCTAGATGATACAGAAGGCTTCAAACAATTAACACAGCCCATTTCAGCATAAACTCGCATGAAATGTTTAGTTAAAATTCTTCCAGTATTACTTGTCTTTTATGTTTGCAATATCATGAAAAAATTGAAAATATACAAATGGAAAAAGGAAACATAAATCCCACTATGTAATCCTCCGTGAATAACAGGCTTCTCTTGCCCTCCAAAAAAATTTAATATCACCTTTTTCCTTGAAGGTAAAGGCAGGTGTATAAGTACCAAGGCTTGAATCTTAGACAAAAGTCATCCAAAAGACCAGTTGGTCAATTCTAAGCAACCTCACTGCACCAGAACAAAGATCAAATTTAAGAAATAGGGCACTAAATAATGCTGTAGAAGGAACCATATATTTCTTTCCTTCTAACTGAGCTTTTGGCTAAAGGGAAAACACCGGTGCACAAGGCTCCTCAACTTGCAAGTGTAGGGGTGAGAGTCGATTATATGCAACCTTACCCTTACATTTTTGCAAAGAGGCTATTTCCCAGACTTGAACCTGTGACCTTCCAGTTACAAAGAGTACTCTTACCACTGCTCCAAAGCTCGCCCTCAACAGAGCTTTTGGCTAGTTAGAGATAAAACTATTCTTGGACCTTCACATTATATCTTAAGCTTTTAGGTTCATTGATCCATTGACAGGACATCAGGCCCTTGTGACCAAGAGGTTAGGATCTCAACTAATGTTAAATTAATTTAGCACAAGTTAACAACAGGCCTATACTTCATTTTCCTTCAAGAACAAAGGGCTTTTCATTTGAGCAGTGTCTGAGATAAAATCATTCTTTTTATTTATTTTCTTTTTAAAAATAATAAGATCATTCTTGGATCTTCACCTAATAGTAACACCATAAGCTTTCAAGTCAAAAAGTTCATTGATATCACACACACTAGTTACTTCAAGATCATAAGCTTAAAGGGCAAAAGTTTATGATATCTGTGATGAGAAGAGATGAACACATTAACAATAGGTCATGACCAATGAAGAAACAAGGGAGTGATTGTATGATAGATTGCTCGTACCAAATTATATTCAGATGCTTCGTCACAAGTTTGTAATATGGAGTGTAACACCTCAGTTGATAGAGTCAAGCCTGCTTCACACATTTCATCGACAATATCAAGAGCTACATGTGGCTGTATTACAAACAAAAAAGAAATCATCTTAAATTCATTCTCTAAGCTTTCCATGGAGTGACTGCATTTCTCCAAAAAAATTAAAAAATAAAAGATTATAATATCTGAGAAATAAAAAATAACTTGAACATCAAAAAATGAATTTACAATAATGTATATTGACTATTGAAGTCCATTGCTAACTCTTGACAACAGATGCTCTCTCTCCTCCTGTCATCAATCCAAATCAGCTATCTGGCTCTTCTAAGTGTAAGTGACTTCCCAGTGCTGGATGTGTAAGATTAGTAAATGATCACTTATAAAGGAATTGTCATTTTATAGGTGAGTTTCTCTAAAGTGCAGGCCACAGGCAACAATTGTGAGAAGGATATGGATAGGCAAGGATGACAGATACTTTGTTTTGTAGTTGGTGAAAGAAGACCAGTGAAAATTTCGGTGCAAACCAAGAAGTAATTTATGCAAGCAGAGAGTACAACGGTTTCAGTATGTTTATATAGCTAGTGGGCTGGTGTATCATTATGAAGAAAAATCCAAATGGCAAGAAAGCTAGGTCTAGGAGCATTCACAAAGCTAGCCTGCAGAAGATTTTGAAGAAAGCAGAACCCCTATTGAAGCAAAGTAGTCTGGGTAAAGGTTAAATGGAAAAACAGGGCATTAGATAAGATCATGAAATTTTTTCATCAATGAGAAAAGGAGTAATGCGGCAGAGGAAAGAACCAGTGAAGTCATTATGGTGGCAAATAACATAATGGAGCTATTCAGTAAATGGTTAGTGTTGAAATTATAGGGATTTGGGTAGGGAAGGAAGAAAAGAGATAATAAAGACTGAATAATATGAAATTGATATTTATTTGATATGTTATGATGCGATGCAAACTGCAAAGCACTAATCCCTATTTATTTTATACTAATATTAGACTCCAAATTCTAATCAAATAAGGAAATAAATCATGAAATATAAAGAAACACTATTCCTAAGAGATCATACAAGAGACTAAAAAATATTATAAAATACAATCAAGATATTATAAGATATTTTGCATATAGTCTAATAGTAAGGAAATTCATGGTGCACTTTCAATGTTTGTTATATTTCTGTAGGGGACAGTTATCTTATTTTTCATTTTCCTTCTGGATTTACTTTTCTTCTTATAGACAAGTTCTGGCAGTCACTTAGTAATCATAAAAATGCAGACAGAAAAGGTTGTACCTTGAGCAATGCACAGCTATGTAAAATGAGCTTCTCGTATGATGAGGATGAAGGTGTAACTTCTAGATTTTGGTGCAAATCCTTGAATTTTTCGATGGCATCCTCAACCTTCAAGAATACCAACAATACATGTGACGAGAAACACACACATACACGCACAGATTTTTTCTTTTTCCATAATAGATAAGTACTGTAGACAATTATTATGCCAAAGAATGTGTATGAATTAAAATACCATGTGGTCAAAAGTTCATACGCAATTATGCACTTTTTAGCATACAAGCACAATGAAGTAACACCTCACTGAAGTTAAGAGGATTAAGTAGTTTCTGTTTAACAAAAGCCAACAAAAATATTCAGCTTTGAATGTTTCCAACATAAATCTACAGCACAAGCCACTTTGAAGAACCTTATGCTATCCACCTAATCTGCTTTAGGTTACCTAAAATGAAATAAAATATTTACAAGAATGAAAGAAAAAAGATAAAGAACTGAGTCTAGAGAAGTAGATAATGAGTTATAATTACTGATTTATTATAAACATTATATGGCTTCTAACCACAATAGAGGTGTGAGTTTCAACCATTGTTTTAGATAGAACTGGACCACAGTTCATAGACTTACCAATTCCATCAGTGCCCGAGAATTGACCTCAGTACACTGTAGATGATAACCTACAAATGCCTCTGCTTGGTTCAACTTATATTGAGAAATCAAAATCAATTATCACTGAAGTATGCTAAATAGAAACTAGCAAACTGGGTTTGGTACAACATTAATCATAGACTAAAGTCTGATGTAACATAAAAATGTGAAACCGATGATATAGTTATAGGATGAAGCAAACTGCAAAAAGCAGAAGTGCTTAATAGTATCAAGTCCTAAAGGAAGTTATCAGCACCATTCATGAGAATTTTCTTACCAATAAATTTGGAATGCTAACAGCATAACTAGCAATGAAGTTTGTAATATTATCTGCTTCATGATCTGCAAAATGTAAGAAAATCTCAGTAAAATATATATAAGGGACAAATTTTTAGAGGAATGCAATGCCTAATCCCTGTATACAATCATAATACTGCTTTAGATAGATACACATTGGTAGATCCTTAGAAAAATCCTTAATTCGAAACTTTTGCAATTATTACCAAAAAAAAATCCTTGCAGACATAATTTATGTCAGCTAATACATATAACATATAGGAGTAACAGAATTCAAGAGATACAAAGGCTCATATAGCATATGCAAATTGTTTTTCTTCTTTCCAAACAGAACTTAGTACATTGTGAGCATCATCCACACAGATGACAAGAAGATAAATATCATATTCATACCACTTGTTCTGAAGTCCAAAAGGAACTTCTCCGCAACAGGTTCCAATAGTAACCTTCCTAATGCCTGAAATATCTTTTCAACAGACGAAAGCTTTGTTATGTCTACGATTTCCAACAGCTCCAAAATCTCCTCCTTCCGTTCACTCTCACAAAGAGCCAATAAATAACTTTCTGCAACATAAGTTGAATCAAGTAAGTTTCTAAAGTGCTACATGAAACAAAATTTTCTGTTGTATTGGACATCAATGTGCAGAAAAAACAGTATCATGTTAATAGTTATGATTCCTTACTAGATAGCAGATGCATGATTTTGAAACATGCATGCTTGGCATGAACACTTCTTATAATTAGCTGCATAACAGCAATGTATTTGGAATATAATTTAGTATAAATTCTATTCTCTCAACATATTTCTGATAGAGCACAGATGTGAATTCAGATAAATATGTTAATTGCAATAAAATAGCATCAAACATTCATATCTGAATAATCTGACGCAACTAACTACACAGACCATGCCACTTAGTATTCAAACTCCATGGGCCAAACAGTGTCACTTCAAATGATTCAAAAAAATCATAAAAGACATCGATTATGTCTCTGTGTAATGCAAAAACCCCGATGAACTTCTGAACATCTGTTACAGTTAAAATCCAAAGCTAGATATTTGATCATAGATTCAGTGGAACAAACTATGGCAAAACAATGCATGTGGAAAAAAAGAGTCACCCACCTCGTAAATCAGAGGTGTCTTCACCGTCATTCTCTGCAATATAGTTACAAAGATCCTGGATCTTTTCTTCATTATTAACCCTTAACCACAGCAACATTTCATAGTAACCCAGTCTCGTAGTTGAATTGGGATTCCCATCTTTGATAACATGACAGAAAAATTGAAACTCTTCAACCATTCGCATGTCAATTATATACAAAAGAAGTGGGCGATATGTTTGCTCTTCTGGCTGTAAACCTTGTTCCCTCATAGATTTAAAAAGGTGAAAAACCTTCCCCATTTCTTCTATTACAATGTCTTCATCATCAGTTCCCCTGGCCTTAGCTATACATATTTCTACCAATGCATTGTATCCTTTCATGCCCGGTTCTCGCCCCACTTTACCAAACAACTCAAGGGTGGCCTCTGTTCCTAACATCATTGCACATAGTTTAATTAACCTATCAAAGCGATTTCCTTGTGAAAATTCAAACACATATTTCTTTTTCTTTTCACGAGAATGATCTTTCTGTCGCAGTTTTATATTGCTTTGACATATGTTTGGTAACCAGGATGTTTCACACTCCTTTGCATCATCAATTTCCTCGGAATCAGGTCTCTTGTCTGACTGACCACCTAAAATAAGAAGCAATACACCGATATAATTAGCCTTTTAGACAAAGAGAAGACCAACTCAGGAAATGAGTTCTTTCTATTACACCCCCAAACCACCAAAAAAAAAAAAAGGTGAAAAGAAATGTCAATGAGAGTGGAAATTATGAGTTAAACTACAAAAGTAGAATTGCTTCCAGCTTCCTCAGTTTTCCTCGTTATCCCAGAGAAAAAAGATAACATATATTTACAACAGACATTTTAACAAACACTTACCGTGGAAAATAGAAGTAATCTGCTTAAACACCGCATTAGACGAATCATCTGCACCAAAATATCCACACAAAAAATATTAAAAAAATGAGATTTTTCTACTCAAATTGTCCAACAACACAGCATCCTCCAACAAAACAATACCCATTAACATAATGAGTCCGATTCTAAAATACCCAGAAACCATTTCGCTCGCTCATTGTTCGTTTACTAGCACACTTGTGGTTTATATAGTGAAAAGGGTAAGCGTTACGTGAAGTACCTGAATAAGAGGGTTGCTGAAGCTGGAGGCTTGAGAGCGTAAAACGTGAACGGAAGCCAGTGCTTAGATTTCTAACTAAAAAGAAGCGCATTTGCATTTATGAACAACTTGAAACACAAAACAATCTCTGAAATGTGGAAATGGAACCGTGCATTTGCTTCCTTTAGCTCTATGCCAAATGAGTCGAAGATGGAATCAATGGGCACTCACACACACCTAAACATGAAATTGAATGGAACTATAAAAATTAAAATTGAAAAAGAGGAAGACCACTTTCAGAAGACTTTTTTTGGCAAGTTCAATTAATTTTACATTAGGAGGCATGAGTTAAATCGGGTTTGATTAATTGTAAAGATTAATAAATTATCAGTCGAATCCAAGCCTCTAGGAGGCACGAGTTAATCCACTTGCCCAAGTATTTTTCTTCTCTTTTTGGGATAGATTTTTTATGCCATTTTAAAAGATCGTTAGATCAAAATCTAATCTAAAGACGAGAGATAAAAATAAATGTTAATTAAAATTATGATCTAATAGTCTTTTAAAATAGTAGACAAACATAGACAAAAAAAAAGTAAATAGAATAACCTATCTTTTTTTTTTAAAAACAAATTATAATAATTCATTTTTTATTGGTTGATCAATTATTCGAGTATAAAGTAACACTCTTATGAACTAGAATAATATATTAAGGCCCACAATTAAAGCCTTCACTAGTGTATCTTCAAGATGATATCATAGTCAATAGGGTTGGCTTCTAATACAGCTCCTTTGCAAAATGATCTCAAGCCACTTACATAAAAACCAATTTAAAGATGTTATTGTCTCTTTGGTCATCCCCCATTATACGAGAAATATTTCTATAGTCCATGTCGATAGAATTTATAAATGCTCCCTCTCACATGTGGAGGGTAAAAAAGGAAAAGAAAAGAAAAAGTAGAGATAAAATAGTCAAAAAAAAATTTTGATTATGAGTGGGACCAGGAGAAAATTACATGGGCCGGGATCGTGTAAAAAATTTCCCCATTATACATACAAGTATCTTACCCAAAGGTACATATTTTATTCAACATGAATAAATATGCTTACATAAAATTTGACTTAAGAGTTGAAGTGTATTGCAAATAGAGATGACAAAGTGGGTGGCCCGTCCCACTCGATTATCAATCCATCAAAAAATAAATCAGCCCGCCATGCCCCGTTTGGCGGGTTGGCCCGCCAGTCCGAACTAATTTTACACTGATCCACCTCAGTTTGCCTATGCCCGCCATCAGCTCGTCAAAAAAACAAGTCCGCCCCGCCTCGCTTTTGAGATAGGTTAAAAACTCAGCTCGCCTCGCCTCGTTTAGCGCTTAGGGTGGGTCGGCCTGCCGAGCCGTGCCCATTTTGTTGGCTCTAATTGTAAATACACCTCTCACCTATTTCCAGTGAAGATCTATGCATTAAAGCTGCATCAAATCACTTGTAAAAAAAAGTTTCATCATGATGAACAAGGTAAAACTCTTCGGATAATTTCCGTGACAATTTTTTAATATAATTGCATATTCACATTCAATACTACGAGTTCAGTTAGAGAATAATGTGTTAGTTGATTCACTTGATTATTGGTAATGGTTTAATTGTTTAATTATTGTAAAAAGAAAAAGAAAATATTTAATTATGCAAGTTAAAGGTTATTTAAAGTAATCAGAAAATTTACAGCAACACTTACTTCCACTAGGATTCGGTTTCGTATCTTGAATTTTTTTATTTTTTTTTAATTTCAAGATCCGACTCCGTATCTTATGTAAATATATTTGCTGCAAGTTTTTCTATCAGCAGTGACAGCAGAAATGAAGAACACTTAAAATAATTGTTCTAAAAGGAAATAATGATTTTTAAAGGCACCTAATGACCAACGTGCTACATGGGCTGCAGAGAGGATGGATGCTTCATGCTGGGCCGGGCTGTTTTTTGGTACCTTGAGTAATGTTTGCAATGTATAATACTCTAGGACTTGGTTAGAAACTTGTTCGGTTAGACCTTGTGTGGTGGCATGCAGTATAGAATGAAGTCCAAGAGAGCAATTGAAAGATGGAAATAGGATATGGCCCAGCTTATTGTACTTGGTCATTTTGTAATCTAGGCTGGGCCACAAATCACAGTGAGTTCGGACTTAGAATTTCTAAATCTGTAATTTTTGTCAAACAAGTTAGTTTATTTCTCACTACTTTAATACACCTAATATTTTACTACAGGCGTGTTTGGTATAAGAATTTTTTTGAAATTTTTGAAAAAATGATGGTGGTAATTTTATTTATTCATGTTCGATATAAGATTTTAAAAAAAAAAATCGGAATTTTATTTTGTGTATAATTTTTTTTTTTAAATACAACCCATTTGGTGGTATTCTTGGAATCTCAGGTGTTGAAAAAAATGTACACATTTTTTTGGATGAAATTTCAGTTATATTTTGGACTATCAAATAATATTTTAGTAACATTTTTAGAAAAATGAATTTCGCACCATAATCCTGAAAATCATGATTGTAAAAAAAAAAATCTTATACCAAAAGTCACATAGGTGTTTCCCTACAAAAACAATGTACAATTGTACATATTATAAATATACTACATGTACACACTTATTTATAAATTTATTCTTTTTTAGGGAATAGGTTATACTTATCACTTTTTTTCTTATCATTTTTTATTATCGTTGGATTAAAATCAAATCAACGGATCAAACAATAACAAATTAATATTAAAAAATGGCAAGAAAAAATAATGGTAAATATAACCTATATTTGTTTTAGGCAAATATTACTCACCTTTCACATGAGATATCATCTCTCATTTTCTCTCACTTCGATTTTCGTACCCCACCTTTTTCTTTTTTTCCTTTTTTCTTGTAATGATAGGATCCACCTATTTTCTCTCTATAACATAAGATAATTATCTTATGTTAAGTGAGACTAATAAAACCCTTTGTTTTAATACTATAATTTGTTTTTCTAGATACAAGATTTTGTAAATATCAGCAACACAATCCCAAAAAGTAAACGGTATAATTTAAATTTTAAACAACGAAAATCAGGAAAAAAAATTGATATGTTGTTTTTTAAATAAAAAATTATGAATTTATGAGAGTTTTGGAAATAATTACACATTTATTGCACAATATCACGTTCAATTTGGGCGTCACCAATCACGCCTAAATTGGGTGTAACATCCCAAGAGCTGGCAAGGGCAGGGAGTGATCGCCGGTGCGAAAGGGCACGAACAATGAGCGGCTCATGCCAAATCTTGCAGCTTGGGGGTTCATGAATGAATCGAATCAACACCCGAAATAGAGGAATTCCAGAGACTGTGCTGGTATGGGACGATACAATTAGGAATGACTTCTAAGAATTAATTAGTACCACCTATACTAACAAGATGCATATACTTTTCGGTAGCCCAAGACGGAAGAACTCCATAGTTAAGCGTGCTTGACTTGGAGCAATTCTGGGATGGGTGACTTTCTGGGAAGTTTTCCCGAGAAGTGTGCGAGTGAGGACAAAGCACGCTGAAAAGTCTCGTGTTAGCGTGTGGGGACAGTCGTTGATCCTTGCAAGTTGTCAGGCGTTACATTGGGCATCACTCAAGAGTCAATCACGCCGAATTTAGGTGTCACTCATCAGGTGTTGACACGTGTCACAATTTTTTTTCCAAAAAAAAAAATTAACAATTTAATCGTGAAACTTCTTAAGGTCATAACTTTTGACTCAGGTATCCAAATCAGGTAATTCTTTTTTTGATTTCACATAACTTTTCGAGATCTACGCAATGACATCTCATTTGACATATTTTATTTCTCACAAACACAATTTAAATTTGCAAAAATAATATTATAAGAGCGGTTAAACCCAGACGCCTCTGAGTTCCGAGTTTGTGATTTAATATAAAAAAATAAATAAAAATTTGATTTGTGATTTAAACTCAAAAATCAATTTGAAAAATATGTATTAATAAAGGAAATAATTAAATAAATATTCTAAATTTCTAATGAAGAAGGATTTTATTTTTGAAATTAATGATTAATGCTATAAGCTTCTGAGTTATAATTCGTGGTCTGAAATTAATGATAGCTTATGAATATTCTTCAAAAATAAAATCCTTCTTCATTAGAGATTTAGAATATTTATTTAATTATTTCCTTTATTAATACAGATTTTTCAAATTAATTTTTGAGTTTAAATCACAAATCAAATCTTTATTTTGTTTTTCTTTTTAATAATAATTTTTATTTTTATTTTTAATTTAAATCACAAACCAAATCTTTATTTATTTTTTTATATTAAATCATAAACCTAGAACTCAGAGGCTTCTGGGTTTAACTGTCTTATAATACCATTCTTGCAAATTTAAATTGTGTTTGTGAGAAATAAAATATGTCAAATCAAATCTTATTGCGTGAATCTCGAAAAGTTATGTGGAATCAAAAAAAGAATTATCTAATTTAAATACCTGAGTCAAAAATTATAATTTTGGACAGGGCAGAGTTCCACATTAACTTAGATAAGATTGGAGAATTAAGCTACGGGTTGATTGAATGATTTGAAAAATGAAAGGCAGTCTGATTTCCCCTAGAGGGAGAAAGCCAATAAAGAACACCGTTCTAAGCTTAGGTTTTCGTGCCAATCCAATAAGATCCGGAATCAGAAATTTTACGATTAAATTGTTAACTTATTTTTGAAAAAAAAAATATGACACGTGTCAACACCTGATGAGTAACACTTAAATTAGGCGTGCCTCTTGAGTGAGGTCTAATTTAGGCGTGATTGGTGACGCCCAAATTGAACATGATATTGTGCAATAAATATGTAATTATTTTCAAAATAACCATAAATTCGTAATTTTTTATTTAAAAAGCAACAAATTAATTTTTTTTCACACGGAAATCAAGATATTGTTTTAACCATGGTTATCAAAATCGCGAGTTAACTCGTAAAATCGTACGATTTTACGAGTTTACTTTGTTTGGCGAGTTAAATCGGTAGTAAAATCGAAATTCTGAGTAAACTCGTTAAAATCGCGATTTTACTGTGCAAAATCGCAAACTCGTACGATTTGGGACAAGTTAGCGATTCATGGGCAGTGATGGCAAAAAAAAAAAATTGGACAAAAAATCGATTTGGCCCAACCCAGTTTACTCAATAGCTATTTTCTATCAAAAATAAACCCTAATCCCCATCGCGCGTTTGCAAGAGAAAGGGCAAACAATCATCTTCCTTCCCCCACCATCACACGACACTGCCACCTGCAACGGCTGAAGATCGACGACCCGACCGGCGACTGGAGCACCGTGGAGGTGCTGTTTTTTTTATGTGGCGTGGTTCTGTTTTTTTATCTTGTTATTTCTCTTTTGCTATTAGTAATGGTGGTAGTGGCATGGTTCTGTTTTTTTATCATTTTGACATGGTGCTGTTTTTTCTCTTTTGCTATTGCAATTGCTTGGACTTTCTTTTGATGTTAATGTTATTGATTCATGGTGGTGTTGGACTGTTGGTGCTGCTTTTTTTTTTTTTTTTGCTTGAATGATATTTTTTTCATCAAATTATCAGTTAATGGCTTCAAGTGGTGCTGCCGGTGTTAGTAGTTCAGCTAGTGTTGTGTCTGCACCTATTACTAGGAAACAAAAGGCTAAAAATGCTCCTGGAAATCGGAGTGATACAGGGTGGAAATAAGGCATGCCATTAAATGAATTGGAGTGCCTTTGAAAGGGTAAGATCTTATAAATACTGAATTTTTAAATTCTGAAATGCATGTTAATTTAAAAATTAGAATTTTCTAATAATTGCTTTTTATTTGTTTAGGTTCACACAAAGAGAAGAAACCGACTGACCACGAAAAAATTGAATGATGTTGTTTTTGTGATGGTTAATAGAAAATTGGCCAAGAAGAAAAATAATAGAAAACCTCTTATCCATGATCTTGAGGATCTTCCATCGGATGAAGATTGGGTTGTTGAAGATGAAAATGAAACTAACATGGAAGGAGACTTGGGTTTGGATGAAGAACAAGAGGAAAACTTGGATTTAGAAACTCAAATTGAAGAAAACATGGTGGGAATCCAAAGTGGAGAAAACATGGTTGTAAACTTGGAAGTAGAAGAAATGGTTGAAGAACAAGGACAAGTTGCCGTGGGAGATGACGACGACGATGCTAACTTTGAGAATTTGATGAACTTTGTACTCTAAGCACTTAGTCTCTAAATTTTTTGTTATGAGTTTGTGTCTTTTTATTTATAATGTTAGTTGGATATTATTATATTTATTATATATTTTTAAAAGTAAAAACTTACGATTCGTGGCGATTTTACGATTTACGATTTTACTATCCCCTCACGATTTTACGTAAAATCGCGAGTTTGACAACCTTGGTTTTAACAAAGAAAAAGCAACCTCCAATTGAATAAATAATAATAATTAAAAGGGAAAATATTATCTTATGATGTAGGAGAGTATTTTTCCTCCTACACATACATCGACTTTCGTGTTGTTTTTTTTTTTCTTTAAGTGAGTGGATTCCACTCGTAACTATCTCTATGATATAAGAGAGCTTCTCTTATGTCACATGAGCTCTCTTATGTCACATGAGATTAATAAAGCCCTAATTAAAAATACAAGAATACACTGGTAAAGTCAAGTAAACCCATGAGCATTAAGCACGAGTAAGACAGCGACGAAAAATGGAAGAAGCGCACGATAGCGTCCACAGAGTTTGGGTGCGCCGGACTCGATCCTTTCTGGGAAGTTCCCGAGCCTGATGGGTTTTCGGTGCACACCAGAATTGTCAATTTCCACATTTGCCCCTCCCCATAAACGGTGCCGTTTCGTGTACCACACCAGGATCTTATACTTCACCGCCGTAGCAAAATCCACCCGGAAGTACACCTTCCCGTCCACCGTCGACGTCAAGTTTCCGGCGGCGAGGAGGGAACTGGGCTTTGAGGCCTTTTTCTGGTGGCCCTGGTAGAACTCCGGGACGGTGGCGTTGCCGACGTAGCGGGTGGTGTTGGAATCGAGGAAGATCTTGAAGCGGAGGAGAACGGCGTCGTATTTGATGCCCTTGTCCTTGTTGCCGTTGACGAGCTTGAGGGTGAAGAGGAGGGTAGAGTTTTGAGGGGAATTGAGGGTTTTGTTGAGGGCAGGAACGTAAATGTAGTCGATGTAGCATTTGGGCTCGTCCACTCGCATGCTCAGCCACAAGAATAGGGCCGTGAGGCCCATCGTGATTATGAACCCGAAACAGCACGAGCAGCAGTTCTCTGATTCCGCCGCCATCTACGGTGGCCGTGTAAATATACAAAGTGAGAAAGTGAGTTACGGTTTGAGTTGCTATTTATGCTCTCTAAATTCTTTGTTTGTTTTATTTTTTGTTTTGGGAAGTTTCCATGTTTTTTACGTGTAACTTACTCGAAGGAGCATATATTGAGTGAAATTGGGGTTGGACCTTCTATTTTTTTAACTCAATTTATTATATATTATATGGGAAAAATATATCTTATTTTAAAGGATGTAAAATTGTGTTATTTTAAGTGAGAGAAAAAGATAAATTATGAGAGAGAGTAGGGATGTGCATGGGTCGAACCGAACTGGATTTTTTAAAAAACTGAACTGAATTGGTTTAAAGGGAAGGATATTGTAACAACTAAGTTGTGTTACTACCATGTTACTATCAATCAATCTCACCGTTAGACCGATTATGTTGATCCAACGGTTATATTTATTTTCATCTTTGTATGGTCATGATTTTTCAAATTTAATACTTTATATTTATTTTCACCTTTGTATGGTTATTATTTATCATATTTAATGCTTTCACTTTAAATTTGGGAAATCATAACCATACAAAGATGGAAATAAATATAACCGTTAGATCAACATAATCGATCTAACAGTGAGATTGATTGATAGTAACATGGTAGTAACACAACTTGATTGTTACAATATCCTTCCCCTTGGTTTAAATGGTTCGGTTCCGTTGGAAACGGTTCGGTTCTGTTCGGAAATGGTTCGGGTCGATCCTCTTGTGAAAAGAAAAAAATTAAAAAATAAAGTTATAAAATCAATTTGGTTCGGTTTGAAAACAGTTCGGTTCGGAAATGGTTCGGTTCAAAATGGTTCGGTTCTTAAACTGGTTCTAAAAACCGGTTCGGTTCATGAACTGGTTCTTTAAAACCGGTTAGGTTCATAAATTGGTTTTTAAAAATCGATTATTTTAAGGGCGGTTCGGTTCGGTTCAGTTTTTTGGTTATTTTACACGTCCCTAGGAGAGAATGGACAAAAAAAAATTGTTACGTCACAAACACTTTTTCCATATTATAACTAGGGAAAAATATTTATCCTTTTAGATGACACAACTTATACCCTTTCACTTTCACAAAGAGGTGAGACCCACACTTTTATTCTTTTTGTCAACTCTCTTTCCTCTTTTATCTATTTTTTTCTCTCTTAAAATGACACAATTTTATATCTTTTAAAATGACACATATTTTTTCCTTATAACAACTGCAGAGAAAAATTTCTCACTAGATTATAAAAAATGTAAAAATAAAAAATAAAACTATACTTTACACCCAGTAACTCTTTATGATGCATATAGTAACTGCTAGTATCTTAAAATAAATAAATAATAATAATAGTAATTAATTGTGCATGTGAATCTCACGGGTTTTATGCTTCTTTTTATGATCGTTAACTTTTTGTCATGTGTGTTTTTTCCCATTATCTATTTATGCTTAGAATATAGTTTTTTAATCTATGTACTTTTGTATTCTGTATCTATGATAAATTTTCTTTTTATTACAGAATATGCATTTTAAGACAGATATTTTTAAAAAAGCATTAAAAAATAATAAAACAAGTTTTTTAGAAGAAAACTTTTGGCCATCGATTTTTGAACGCGGAGGAGTATCCACGGTTGGAAGAGGGTTCTAGTAGGTCGTTTGTTTAAACTTTTAAAAAAAGTAATTTTTATCATGGCCCAAGTATACGCGTCGCGTGGGAAAGAAAGATGCTTGGTTGGTCTATTTTCTTATTCACTTGCCAAACCAAACACACAGAGTACGGTGTTCACTGCTCCGTGTCCTTTTAATGTTATTTTATCATATAGGGACCACAAAGTTTATATGTCGTGGGGTGACATCGAAAAAATTCATTAGAATAAATTCTTTATGCTTTAAGTTTTGATGTATATTTAAGGGATGTTTGGTAATATAAATTTTTTTATTGATCCAAAAAATAAATATTACTGGAATGTAGTGAAAAATATATTTTTGTTTGAATGTTATTAAAAGGTGTTTGGTAGGATTAAATTTTTCTGAGAAATTATGATTAAATTTACTGAGTGTGTGTTTAGTTGGTTGAGAAATATTTGTGAGAATCTAATGTTATTTCACGAGGGTTGGTGTGATTACTGGAAACCCTCGTATATTGCAAAAGTTTGTGACGGAAGCTCGCAATGGAAAATATTTACGACGGAAGTTCCCTCGCAAACCCTAGGAGCAAAAATTGCGACTGAAATTTCATAATTTCCTTGGCAATTTGCGTCGAAATTTGCTACGATTTTATTTGCGAAGGAATACATTCCCTCACAAAATTCAAAAATAACATATAAGTCAAATTTAAAAGGGAAAAAAGCATAAATTGGGAAGATGTCATTATAGGTAGGAGAAGACTATATAGAAGATATGCAATATGTGTATGAGAAAAAGTCATTGAATGCGTCGCCACATCCTTTATGGCAAACATTGAGTGCGTGTAGTGATAGTAGTGCCTATGTCAACTAATCTTAGGAGATATAAAACTGTGGAAATTTAAGGTGTGTGTACAAATGAATAAAAAGTGAGAAGCAGAGAAAAACGTCTGAAAGAGACACGTTCCAGCCATCCTCATCACCATCAATGTACAAATGAATGAAAAGTGACACATGCTTCCGGTGCCACTAGAAAAGGCACTGGTCTTGGTAGTTGGTGTTAGTATATGGATGTCCTAGAGACAATCTTTTGATTAGATTAGGACATATGTGGACCTTTTTATATTGTCGCAAATAAATAATAAGCACTCTTTATCCTGTTTCATATTTTGTCTCAATATTATTGTTAATATATTATATGAGTAACTGGATAAACCCCTTGGAATAAAATAGGTATCTCTTGAGTATCTGTGATGAGATCACGATCATGAGGATTTAAGGATACCAGATGTTTATTCCTAATTTTATGTTCCTAGTCTAGAGACACTGAGAATGAGGATCAGTAATCTCAGGTAAGACTAGCACGACTTATCTACTTGTATTCGGATACAAGGTAAAGACCTCATGAGCTACAGATATGGAGATGTCTTAGCTAAAGTCGTGGGTGGACCTATAAGGGTATAGCTCTCATTGAACAGACCCACAAAGAGACTCTATAAGGAAATCTTACAAAAGTATCATTAGAGCAGTCTCTTAATATTTGGGTATGTCTTTCCTTAGACCATAAGTTGTCACCTAGACTGTGTTCTAGAAGGCATGTTTTGATTGTATACCTCGTCTGCCTGAAACATGGAGACTCATAGGTATACTTTTTGGCATGTCCTGAAAGAGCACATGCCTAGGGTGATAAGCTGAAGGAATTCGTCAAATCTCTGTAAGGGATTAGGTTATCTGTAAATCGGAAAAATCGAGATGACATTTACAGGACTCAGGAATCTATGCATAGTAAAAGAGATCATGAGATGATCTGCCTTTAGAGTTAGTAAATTGAAGATTCCTTATTTCGAATTAAAGCTTACCTTAGGTTTAAAGGGAAGGTAACAGAGACGAAAGGAAATACATACAGTAACCAAATATATGTAATAGGATGATCATGTCATTAACCTAACTAGCTCTGGGGCAACAAAGCATTGCTAGTGCTCTGTGTTGTCATTAAATGGGTTGTGGGCTTGTTGGGCCCAAGCCCATTTATGTCAGTGGCTATGTTGGGCCTAATGAGTCACACACTAACACCTTATTGTCTTGATGATATAGCATTAAAGGTATTGGGCCTAATAAAGGTTGTTAGCCTACGAAGAAGTTTGAAAGCCCACCTAAGAGGGAAAGGGCGCATGGTAATTGTACTGGGCTTGGATGGTCCAAGACATTATTAATTAATTTAATTAGTTAAATTAATTATCAAATACTTAAATTGAGAATTTAAATTTAGAATTTGAATTTTGAATTTAAATGTTTGAACGTTTGAATTTAAATGTTTGAATTCGAATTTGAATTGGCTATGAAAAGTTGTTTCATAACAAAAGGATAAGATAAGATATTGTTGGAACAAATCCCTAGTATCAAGAGGAGATATTTGAGTATCATCCAAGGTTGTTTGGGGAGCTGATTTGGGTTGTTATGAGTGTCATTTAGTCAACCAAATAAGCTCCAAATCAGATTTGGTTGGTTGAGAGAATAAGTGAGTAAGTTGGTTCAAAATTGAATGCAACTACTCAATGTATTTGCACTGCATTGTGGACCAAAGGGGCGCACCATATGGCTGGCCATATGATGGTCATTAGGTCAGAATTTTGACAAGGTTTAGACCTAGTCTCATGAGGATTAAAAGATAGGTTGTTGGGAAAATTTGAATTGCAACAACTCCACCTTTTTCTCCCTTGGTGTGCGCCATTTTGATCAGATTTTTAAGAGAAAAATCTGACTTGAATGCTTAGACTTTCTCATCTCCTTTGGTCATCCTTTTGTTAGGTTTTTCTTAAGAGAGTTTTGAAGAATATCCTAGCCACTTCTCATCAATTCCATGCGCCACTTTTGTGAAGTTTTAAGCTGAAAATTTCACTCATCTAAACACATTAACCTTGCCTCCTCCTTCTTCTATTGAACGCCTAGCCAGCCTTCTTTGTGGTGTTTAATTGGTGGCTTTTCAAGAAGGGTTCTTGCATCTTGACGTAGGGTGGTGTGGATCAATATTAGAGGGTTTGAACCCTTTCAAACCTTACATTGATCACCTTGGAGTTTTAATCACGAACAAGGTATATCATTACGTCCTAAAGTACATATCTTGATTGGCATGTGTGTTTCCGCTTTTGAAAAAAAAAAATTTCATCCTCACATGTCTACGACCTTCAAGGCCATTTTATTTCAGTTGGGCTTTAACCACTTAATTAAAAGTCAAGTCCAGTCCAATAAGGAAAGTTAGGGTTCCCAATTCAAGATGTTCAGCAGCCATTTTGAATATGTTTGAGTTGAATTTTGAAGACAAGGGAGTGTGGAAATCAGTCACCACAAGAGAAAGTAGAGAGAGAACAATTTCAGAAAATTCACAGGAGAATAGAGGAATGAGCAATCTTTGATCATTCTTCAATATCTCCTTCATCTACCGTCTGATCGAGCTGAGATTTTTTTGGTATATTCCTAACTCATCATTCTTCATATCCAACGGTGGCTTTTCTGGTTGGAG